GTTTCTGCTTTATTTGGTTATTGTGTCTTTTAAAGTTTTACTTCCTGTTCTGCCCCGCCCTAATGTGTTAACACCCTGTGCTCTTTCCATGTTGTTGCCACTACATTTGCTGCTTCCATGTGATCTCAGAAACTCGGACTGAAACTCGGATTAAGACTCGGACTGAGACTCGGACTGAGACTCGAGTCGGGTCAATGGTCCCAGAGTTCCAGAGTTTACGTCAGTGTGACACATGCCACATGAGACACATGCCAGAGACAAAATGAGAGGGATGTGTTTTATATCACACATGGTTTGACTGCAAAATAAACATATTGAAGCATCAATTCAAATTCATATTTAGTGAATTCATGGCCACAAAGGCTTTGCATAAATATCTGAGATTGTATCTGTATAAGCACATTTTACATATTTGCAGTGAAGGTTTCTGTCTCTTTCTAATTACGGAGCAAAAAGTGTTGTTCACATTGTTGTTGTCGTTGCGGCACATGTTTGTCATCACTGTTTCCCATAAACGCTCGGATTTTGGGAAGTCAGAAGATCACATAGATATTGTTTCTCAGATCTACGACGTGGCATGAAAGCAGCAATTCTTTTGAGTCCCTTTGAATGAGTAGTAGTCGTAGTTTGTAATAATAATCAAACATATTTTATCTATTTCTAAGTAAATAAGTAGGTAAAGTTTATGCATGTAGCGCCTTTCACAGACCAGGATCACAATTAACACATACTATAAAAGCAGTACACATACAAGTCTGCACACTCAACGTCGCCTTACATACAAGTAAAAAGTACATTCAAAAACAGTTCATATGCAGTGAAAATACAAAGTTAAACACAGCATGAACAGAGAATGGTGTAGTTTAGTGAGTACGTGTTTATTTCAAACTTATATTTCTCATACAGCAGAACAAAACAAACATGTAGAGCTGTCCAGGACCCGCATAGGCTTTTCCATCTAATCGTACTGTATGTTTGTAACGTAAAGGTGCACTTTATTAATCCCCGAAGGGCAATTCATCCTCTGCATTTGACCCATCCTGATGCCGCGAAGGCTTACGTCAGGAGCAGTGGTCGCCATAGTAACAGCGCCCGAGAACCCATCTCCAGATGTGGATGCTCGGCTTGGTCAGGACTACCAGAGCTGGAGGATTTTATCTAGTGTGCATGTTTTTAGTGGTAGGGGAAACCAGAGTACCCGACCCGGAGGAAACCTACGCAGGCACGGGGAGAACATGCAAACGCCACTCAGAAAGGCCCTGTTCCGACTGGGATTTGAATCTTGCTGAGAAGCGGGAGTGCTATCCACTCAGCCACCGTGCCGCCCGAGTTGTATGTATGTGCTTGTTTCTTCTCTGCCTCCAAGAAACACAGACCAAATCTCACACTAGTCTCCATCTCCCCAGACTCTTCCCACTTGGCTATTTTTGTGAGAGAACTGCAGCTTTCTGCTTTGGTCCTGTCTGTACAAAAGTATGACAGCAGCCAATATGTATCTAATACAATATATACAGATGTGTTTTTTAGATGTGGGTGCACGACAAGCCTAACTAAGATATTCATGTGGTCGGGAACATAAACTGAATGTGAAATTGTATTACGCTTAGGCTTTGATTTTCATGTAAACAACAGATTTTCTATGTTTGGTCACATTGTTGGCTTAATCTAATGAGAGGCATATGACTATAATCATATTCAGCTCATATTCCACTCAGCTGAACAACAAAATTAACTTGGAAACCACATAAAAACATTTTTTCAAGCACTTTGGCTTTTGTTTATGGTTTAAGCTCTTCATAAAGACAAGCTCAAGATGTTTGAGAGAAAATATTCATATATTTTCAGAGCCAGGAGTGTCATAACCAAGGCTGCTTTAACCACTTTATTACTTGGCAGCAAAAGAACGGATTATAGATAATGATAAGAAATATTTACAGCTAAAAGAAACATTTATTAGAAATTGTGCAATTCCACACGGCTGTTCCTTCCTGCAACATAGCTGAAAATGTATTGTTTTATTATTTTTTATTTTGACATTAAATGAGAAAGAGACTGGATTGAACATTACAATTGAAGTATTTAATTATATTCTAGTGATCATGACCAGAATCTTCCTCTCTGTGACACAGCTCTAACGCACTGTTTACTGATGGCATCCACCTGCTGGAGTGGAACTCTGTGTATTACTTACTTTGCCTTTGTATCTGGTTTATTTAAACAATGTGTGGGGCTGTTATGTGCATTTCTTCAATCTTTTTATTGCACTGTCTGTCATGGTGTGGATTTTTTAAACTTTGGTTTTATTTTGATATCAGTTCTTTGTGCTTTGGTTTTAGTTTTACTTCCTGTCTTGATTGTCTGCCCCGCCCTGATGTGTTTCACCTGTGTCTGTGTACCCTGTGCTCCTCTCCCCACGTTGCTGGTCCATTGTACTGTTTAGGTCTGTATTGTCTCGTCAAGTGGTGCACACTGGGGTAGTCTTGCACAGTTTTTCCTATGTGGTTTTACTGCAAATGGCAAATAAATGAATCTGAATCTGAATCTGAAGTTCTGTCCTGTTCTTGTTGGATTTTTGAGTCATTATTTTTGCATTCCTGCGTTTGGGTCCTTCCTCCTGCTTCCCACCACGTGACACTCTCATTATTTATGATTTTTTTTGTTATTTGAATGCCTTGTGTGTTTGTTTCTTTCTTGTTTTGTTAAGCACTTTGAGTTGCTTTGTGAATGAACGACGTGATATACAAAAAAACTTGCCTTGCCATTTTGTTATAAAAAACAACAGCTACATTTTTTTTAAACTGGTAACCTAAGGTGTCTTATTCAAGTCACTGATTGGATAATCAAGTAATGATCTGTACATGTTTTAATATTATCTGGGGACACATGAAAAAGTGTAGACTTATGTTGCATATTGGCCCATTGACGGCAACTATGACACACATACAGTACAAAAATGACACATGTGAAACACTGGGTTCTGAGGTGGTGCTGATTCAGGACGCCCGACATTCAACAACATTTATGGACAGTGGTCATCTGCCCCCTTATGGACCAATACCTCTATGTGTTTTTTATCATTGCACTTCTTGTGTTCAAATTCAAACGTTGTGTAAAGTCCTCCGAGGTAACTACTGCTGTGATTTAGGGCTATCCAAGAATATACTGAACAAAATTGTAAGTAAGTTTTTTTTATTTATATACCGCCTTTTCACTGCAGATCTGAGTCTCAAAGCGGTTTACAATTGTTAATTTTGGGCATTTGTCTCTCACTCCACACAGAGATGGGAGCAGGGTCGCCAGTACAGGAAGCGCATGCCAGAACTATTGGACATATTTTTAGTGGTAGGGGAAACCGGAGTACCCGGAGGAAACCTACGCAGACACGGGGAGAACATGCAAACTCCACTCAGAAAGGCCCTGGTCCGACCGGGATTCGAACCCAGGACCTTCTTGCTGAGAGGCGAGAGTGCTATCCACTCAGCCACCGTGCCGCCTGTTTGTGGAGGAAGTCTGGTGTACTACTTTCTACATTCTTACCTCACCATGTTGGACCATCTCTGTCTGGTGCAGAGGAAAGAAACGCACTATTATTCTACCGGGCCTGGCTTTGTACCAACCAAACCGCTTTCCATTCAAAAAGCTGCTACTACTGCTGCTGCGGAAGAGTATGATTAATTGCATGTAGCCACGTGCTTGTGACAGCGGGGACAAAAGAGAGAATCTTGCATGATGCTTATCCACTTGAACTGATTGGACAAGTTAGAATAGACTGGCTGTATTTGTACATCTATTTCCAGTGCCATAATATTTTTGTTTCTCTTCTTTTGTGATTCCAATTGAAAGGGCACTCGATGCGCCTGGGTTTTCCCTCAAACTCCGGACGTTGCATCTTTTTTTTGTCCTCTTAATATGACTCGAGCGTATTTAATAATAACGTCTGAATGAACACCCTCCACCCCCTCCTCATAAAGCGTTCCTTCTACAGTGGCTGTGCTCTCATCTGACCTCTGACTCCACGACACGCAGAGACAAGGGCCCTGTTCAGTGTCAGGCCTCCTCTTATTCTCCTCTTCTCTCTTCCACAACTTTAAATCACAGTCTTCACATTCTTCGGTCGACGTGTGAACTTTGAAAGAGCCCTGACGCTGACTTACATTTCCTTAAGTGACGTGAATATATGAGGTGTTTTAGACGCTTCGACTATAAACTATAAAAAAGGCTTTGTGTTGGTGTCTTGAAGCAGGCGTGTCAAATTCATTTTGGGCTTCAGGCCAAATTTAAAAATTAAGTGGTCAGGGGCCGAAATGAGTGATTTTCTTGGGGAATAGTTAGATATACAATGCTCTGTATGTATTTTTACACTATGAAGAAAGATTGACTTTAAAAACTTGGACATTTCCATAGGAGCGGACCCTTCCCTCAAAATGGCCCTTTTTTAGTGAGTCATTTTCATTTTCATTTTGTAATGAGAATGAAGTTGGCTCTGTGTTGAAGGAGCCGGGTCCAGTTTGCAGCCTGGGTTTACTAAAGTCATTACAAACACAATACAACTTTTTGTGGCAAGAATGTGACTGCTTGTGACAAGACCTGTAATCAACAACTATTTTGACTGCTGTTATTGCCAGATTATAAGAAGCACTTTTTTCAAATGTTTATTGCCAAAAAGGAATGAAAGCTAACTGTTGAGCTAAGCATGATAACTTGTTATTGTTTTATTTACCTTTATCTTTGATCATCACGAGTCAACACAGCGTTGACCACAACCCGTCATTTATCATTCAGTTACAACAGTCGTCGTTCGGCTTTGTTTTCATCAGCTGTTGGTGTGTGCTACATTAAACCATTAAAATAACTGGTGCGTCAGATTACTGTAGGCCGTTAGCAGGCCGTGCAGGACCTGTGTGCGTGGGGCCGCAGATCAGGGCTTTAACTTAAATGTAATATTATTAAATGATATTATTCACTTTTACATGAGTCTTTTCCTCGTGTTTCTGCTGCAGTGACCAAGTCGAGCCAGGCCCTGGACCACCTGCTGGAGCAGTCCTTCTACAACCCGCTGGACTCAGACCTCAGCTACTGTAGGGGCTTGTCTGCAAATTCCTTTTATATATATATATATATATATATATAACTATACTGAACTAATACAGGACAGTTATTTTTACCAAAATGCAACACGCTACGTGTAATATAAAACCAACACTGCTCATCAACTGTAGAGTGGGGCTGCTTTTCTTCAGCAGCGACATTCTCTAAAGAACACTTCTTACACTTCTTACAAAAGAATGATTCAAATGACACAGTCGGACCTATCCAAATTGTTTTGCAAAAAAGAATTAGCAAGAACTCAGTCTCGGCGCAGGGTTTATGTAGATGTATAGCCAAAGAGACTGTTCTGCTGTAATTGCACCAAAAGTAATAACTCATGAAGGCAAGTCCTAGTTTGCGAAATAAAAAAATAAAACATTGTTTCCACAAAATGTGGAAAAGTTTTTTCAAGCCACTGTATGTTATATATTTGTCCTGATGCCCGAGGGCAGTTCGGTTTGGTTCCATTTGGGCAGTTTTATGTTCAAAGGTCACATGATTTATGCCTCGCCCCACACACACACACACATGCACGCACACACACACGTACACACACACATGCACGCACACGCACGCACACACACACGTACACACACACATGCACGCACACACACACGTACACACACACATGCACGCACACGCACGCACACACACACGTACACACACACATGCACGCACACACACACACTCTCGCAAACACACACACACACACACACACACATAGACACAAAGATCATTGGGACAAGTTTAGCAGGAAGATGTTCATAGAGCTCCCCAGCACCAGCACGCACAAACAGAAAGGTTAAATTGATTATATTTTCCCTGTACACTATTTGAGCAGTGTGCATGTCTGGAATGCAGAACTGTTCTAGTCACAGAGGTCAGGTTTGTTTTCACACACTACACACTATCTGAAGCGTTATTGATGCAGTGGCTAGATTTGACCGTATCCTAAATGTGTGCTCTGTGGATTCCCCTCCATCTGGATGAAATTACTGTTTGCAAACTGTATGTCACCTGTGTCTCTCCAGTCTCCTCGTGTGATTTCGAGTCCACGTGCCTCTGGACCTTCTCAAACCACAGCAAGAAGAGCGACTGGGCTGTAGTGTCTGCAGACCAGACAGCGTCCAGGCCCCACGCTGACCACTCTCAGGGCTCGTCCAAGGGTAATCCACTGCTGCTGCCATGATTATGATATCACATACTACTACAGGCAAATATTCAGAAAAATTTAATATTTTTCAAAAGTTAATTTTTTATCTGTAACATGTCTGCGTTCTCTATTTATTTTATTTAAATAATACTTTATAAGGGCTACAGATGGAGCTTGGTGGTTAGCTTGGTGCTAAATCTACTGCAGTCTTTTTAATGTAACTGCTCATTGTCCTCAATAAATTAAAATTAAACTTTTTCTTTAATAGAAAAAAGGTAACACAAAATATAGATAGTGTATTTTATGGTAAATATTTCTAACCCTTTTTTCCCACTGCAAAGTAACTCAATTCAATTCAAATAAACTTTATTTAGAGAGCACATTAAAAACAACACCGTTGGCTAAAGTGCTGAACACAAGTCTAAAAACACAATACAGTATAGCTACATATACAATAATACAAATTGCACAGAAAGTCAACCCACTGGGTTAAAAGCCAATGTAAAAAGATGAGTCTTAAGAAGTGACTTAAAAACAGGAAGTGAGTCCACCAGTCTGATGTGCGGAGGCATTCCACAGTCGCCGTCGCTGCAGAAGCACAATCCCCTCTCGATTTCTCTCCGATCTTTGGGACCACTAAAAGAGCCTGGTCTGCTGATCTTAGAGCCCGAGACGGGGTATGGCCGGGGCACAAGCAGATCAGTCAGATACTGAGGGGCCAATTTATGCACATATTTAAACACAAATAAAATAATCTTAAAATCAATGCTTAGGTGCACAGGGAGCCAGTGAAGAGAACACAGAATACGGGTGATGTGATCAAATTTGCGCGTGCCAGTTAAGAGTCTGGATTTCATTTTGGATTAATTGAAGGCATGAGAGTAAAGTTTTACCGAGTCCGGGACAGAGGGAATTACAATAAAAAAACGAGAGCTTTTAGCATGGATTAAACTTCAAAGTTATGACGAAATAAAAACGATTTCACTTTGGCAAGTCGCCTCAGCTGAAAAAAGTTGGTCTTCAATACAGCGCTGATTTGGGCATCCAGTTTCAAAGAGGAGTCCATTTTAACTCCTAGATTTGTCACTACTGGGCTCACAGCCTGGGCTAAGGGGCCACAGCTGCTGTAGTGTCCATGGATGAGAAAATGACTATCTCTGTCTTCTAGTAAAGCCTATTTTGTACAATTTCCTCTTTAAAACCCAAGACAATCTAAACTATTCGATTTTAATCCATACATAAAGCAGTTTCAATCTCCTGGTGACTTCTGTGATGAATACATGTTTTTGGTTTCGGTTCAGGCCACTTCTTGGAGCTGAGGCCCTCTCCCGGTCAATGTGAGTACTTCCTGACCAGTCCAGTCCTGCCCTTTAGCTCCGAGCTCTGCAGCCTGCGAGTGGCGTTATCAGACGGGGCCTTGATGGCGGGGAATCTCAGTCTCTCCATCTCACCTGTGCACTCTGGCCGCAGCCCCACGCCTCTCCTCATCCACTCAGACAGCAGCAGGTAAACCATGGAGCACCATACACACACACACACAAACACGCCTTTGACGGAGCAAGGACAATCCCAGTAATGTGTTTGTGTTTCTGTCATGTAGAGACAGCAGAGACGAATGTAAGTGTAATTGATAGGGACAGCAGAGGGATGGGTGGCCTTGTGCTTTGACCACGTTTACCCAAGAGCAAGATCATTCTAATATCGTTTCCCATGCACTCTAAATTTCACCAGTTTTTTGTTTTTTTTAATCAATCTAGTTGGTGGTTACGTGTCCGACCCATCTTTGGTAAAACAACCAAACCTACCAAGACATAATCAATCTATAACTACTTGTGTTTTAACTGTATTTTATTTATTTTGGTCATAGAGGCCCTTCACTGGCTGAATGAGGGTGGTTCTCTGATCTAAAAACGAATGCATGTGAAGTCTAGTGATAGAACCAAACTCTTTTGAGAGCAAGGAATTTTATTTAAAGTTATTTACCCCATCTTTAAAGATGGGGCCAATGTTTGTAGTGCAGTGTTTACAGCAGCAGGAGAAAGGTGTTTTTTTTCTCACCCGGGTTTTCAAATTGAAAAAGAAAAGTTTTAGATTTTAGAGTTTTTTCATGTGTATTTCAGGGGTCAGTGGGAGGAGTTGGAGGCCGTGGTGGGCAGGATGGATCAGCCGTTCCTGGTCACTCTGTCGTATGTGTCGTGCGAGGCCGCGGGCAGCACTGTGGCTCTGGACTCTCTGGAGTTCCAAAACTGTGAAGGTGAGAACTGGGTCATGAGAAGGTCCCAGTCCATTAACAGAAGGTCCCAGTCCCTCTCATTGTTTTAAAATATCCTCTCATTCCTGCAGCACGTTCATAACAGTTGTTTTCATTTCCCTGTGTTATCAGAAACAATAAAAAACTGACCACATTTGGAGGTATTCATACACACACATACATACATACACACACTCACTCAGAAATGCGTTATGGCAGATCAATAAATAATAAGAGAACAAAGAAACAGAATCTTAAAAAACAAACCGAAAGAACAACAAAAACACAGTACACAGGAAAACACCAGAAAAACAAAAACAAACCTCATAGATAATTAATAATAGGGTTAGAAAGAATATAGAAGAAATAATATAATAACAAACACATTTTTCAAGAGACACAAAAGGATAAATTCTGAATAGAGCCTGCCTTATTGTACCATCTTGACAGTGTGGGTTCAGGCTGGGTCAGTTATGGGTTGGCCCCTTCGCAATATTGACCAGTGGTGGCATGTGCAGATCAGCCGCTGTCGGAGCTGAACGGTGCGTGTGGGGAATCCTTCCATTGCGACGCCACCGGTGACTGTGTGGAGCCGAGCCGCGTGTGTGACTTCCACACTGACTGCGCCTTCGGAGAGGATGAAGGCTTCATCTGTGGTATGCTTGTGGAATGCTGTGGAGACTTGTGTTGGACAGACGTGATACATTTATAAGATTCCGACGCTAGAGGTGCTGTGTTCGTACTGTGTGTTATACCTGTATCGCGGCACTTTGGTGTTATATGATTGATTCAATATGGCTGAGAAAGATTCTTGAAGTGATCTACAAGCGTGGTGATTTCATATAATAGCATTCCAGCCACAGCCAAAGAGCTAACATAACAAAACCGATTCTTTCTCAGACCAAACTGATGCTTTCCCGTGCAGGTGCCCTCCCTCTGGGCTCCTACTGTTCCTTCGAGCTGGATGAATGTGGCTGGTCTGTGTCCACGCTGCGGTCCCACTGGAGGAGAGTGTCCGCTGATAATCTGGAGCCTAAGGAGCATCAGGGAGAAGCACTGCTCTCCACTCCAGGTCTGTCTCACTCCACAGCAGGCATGTCCATACTAAGGCGCGGGGGCTAATTGCAGCCCTCTGTGTCATTTTATACGGCCCTCTGCCTTGCTAACTCAAAAGTAGTCTTTTAGATCATGAAGACAAGTTCTTAGTTTAATCCAGACACGTAATACTTGTTTGTGAAGTTCAATTTCTCTGGAATCCGTTGACTTTGTTTGACTAAACTGACAATTATTTTTATTATATGGTGCTAATGAATCTGATGAGGAAACCTTTGTGTTACCTGAAAACTCAGAAAACCCTTAATCCAGTTAACCCATGTTGTTGGCCCCTGGGATTGGCACTCTACTAAAAAGTGTGGACACCCCTGCTCTAAAGTAAAGATGCAAATGTACTGAGCTGAAAAAAAGCAATGTGTGTTACGCCTTTGATGCAACCCAGAGGGCGAAGGCAAGAGCTTTCATGCAATCTCGGAAACTCAGAGCGTTTATGGGGTTGTTGTGCAGCTACACAACAACCAACAGAAATGTGCAGAAAGATAAGTGGATCTTTATGTAACCTTCACTGCTTTGATATATACGTAGTTTATTATAATGAACATGCTTATATGGTTATACACAATGTTGTATAGTTCTGAAAAGATTTTGCGTTAATAAAGTCTCAAATTGTGCTTGTAAATACATTTTGGGTAAAACATCAAAGAAATAAAGCACTGCTCAATCTCAGGGAAGATTCTGTCCAGACATTTGCATTATCAGGATTTTATACATACACTTTTCACCTATTCCTCACATTTGTATCTGTTCTCTATGTGGATATTTGCTTGGATTTTTAATTATCAATTATTAATTATATGTTTTGCATGTTGGGCCACAGGGCACTTTCTGTTTTTGCAGGTCAGAGAGAGCGGTGCAGCCAGAGAAGCGTCAGTCATCAGCCCACAGTTCCCTGCTCCGGTCTCCTCCACTGACTGCCAGGTCAGATGCGACTCTGCTGAGTACTCCTGAGTTAGTTTCTTTCTTATAATCTCGTATGTACCTTTATAGATGTACTTCTCCCTGTACCTCTATGGAGACTTCAATGGGACCCTGGTGGTGGCCATAGAGGAGATAGAGACAGCTAACAGTCCGCTGGTGTGGGAGAGGAACGGCCCCTGGACAGACGACTGGGACCATGTTGTTCTGCAGCTGACGGGGATTGAGCACAGGTTAGCATACTGTATATTTATAGACAGACTGTATATGCATAGACAATGTCATCCCCCTAGCTCAAAGAAGCCCAATTGGGAAGTGCTCACGGACAATATTTTTGCTACAACTAGCTCTGGCTGCTATTAACTTACATTGAAAAGTAAACTCCTCTAGCTCAGTAACCGCTCATCTCACACTCACCATGATGGGCTTAAAAAATCCGTGGTTGTGATTTGTCTATGAATCCAGATATGAACCATAAGGATTGACCAATCAGATATCTTCAATCCCAGGGGGAACCTCCAGCTTGCCTTAGCAACCATGTCTGTTATGGCGCAAAGCTTACTACGTCAAAGCTTACTACAAAGGCTCACATAAGGAAATTGGCTCCAGCTTGTTTATAATAGTAATGATAATAATGCGTTGGTTATATAAATTGCTGTTAGGACACGCATCTCATTATCATTATGTCATTATTTATTCATTTCATACATGGTGGGGATAAACTACTACTGTAGCCACAGCTGCCCTGGGGCACACTGACAGAAGCAAAGTTTCGGGCGGCACGGTGGCTGAGTGGATAGCACTCTCGCCTCTCAGCAAGAAGGTCCTGGGTTCGAATCCCGGTCGGACCAGGGCCTTTCTGAGTGGAGTTTGCATGTTCTCCCCGTGTCTGCGTAGGTTTCCTCCGGGTACTCCGGTTTTCCCTACTAAAAATATGTCCAATAGTTCTGGCATGCGCCTCCTGTACCGGCGACCCCGCTCCCATCTCTGTGTGGAGTGAGAGATAAATGCCCATAATTAACAATTGTAAACCGCTTTGAAAAGGCGGTATATAAATAAAGTTTACTTACTGGTTACTTTGTAAGTAAAGTAAGTATGTGCCATCGACCTGGTGTTCCTAGAAGACTCCCATCACAGTATTCAGTAGAAAAATATCAAATTGAATTGGATTGATGTATTGATGTGTCAATTCACCTCTTATCACCTGCAAGACCTGCAGCGTGTCCAATAACCACAAAAATAATCACATGTGCAAAAGAGAAACAATAAACAAAGTTTTTGGACTGGGTATAAACATTTTAGAAAATTATTTGAACAAATTATTGATAATTGCTGTATTGTCGTGATTTTATTGTTTTGTAATGAACTGTATCGTGAGAGACTCAGAGATTCCCAGACCTAGTTTACAGAGGGTCTAGGGGCGGGTCCCAGTTCTCACCCTTAATTTGTACCCTTGCCCTAGATTTACCTTACGTCACTCACTTGTATCTGTTCAGGTTTCAGATCAAGGTCAGTGCCTTGTGGGCTCCGGGTTCCGAGGCTGACGTTGCCCTGGACTTCATCTCTCTCGGAGCAGCCTGCTTCTACACAGGTAACACAGTCTCTTGTCATAATCATATACAATAAATGTAGGACTTTCTGTAAATGCTGCTGTAAAATATGTGACATCCATGTTTTGTGAACAGATGTGAACGAGTTGGGGCCTGTAGCAGATCTGGGGGATCTCCTGAGCCCTCTGCCTGAACCCTCAGACTCAGGTAATCGAGACCTTCCCAGGTGTTTAATATTGTACAACACTGTACTTTGTGGCTTATAAATGCCTTAACCATAACGCCAGATGCCACATAGGGGTGGCTGCAGCTGTAAAGTGCTAAACTGTTGTTGTGTCCTTAGGCAAGGCGGAGGCAAAAATAGTAGGCCCCAGGGCATGTATGTAGTGTAAGAATAATGAGTGTCTTTGAGTGTTCAAAAAAGATCTGTAATCTTATTTGTAATTTGAAAAAAACAATAAACTTGTGTGCAAGTTTGTCCCGACAAAAAGAGAAAAAAATCAGACAGCAATCTCCATCTCTTTAGATAAAATGTTATCTTTTGCATACAAGAGCCCTGTGAATTGTTATTTGATGCTTTGAGCTGATTGGGTGAATGTGGTTCTCTGTTATTCACGTTTCTCCCTGTGAAAACTGATCTAAAGATGTGGCACAGGACAAAAAATACACACATGTGAATACTAATTATAGAACCAAACTAGTTACATGGATTTTATTACATGTAATTAAAGTTTATGTAGTTTGAAAGTTAGGTAATCCAGCTTTAAAGTCAATGTTAGTATTTATCTTCAGGTCTGATCTCTGCGCTCTTACTGTTTTCAGAAGTTCCAGTTTTGACATGGTTCTTCAACTCGTGCGGGGCCAGCGGTCCACATGGCCCCACCCAGACCCAGTGCGACACCACCTACAGGAACAAGAACGTCAATGTCACTGTGGGGAAGGATGGAGCTCTGAAAGGCGTCCAGATGTGGAGGGTCCCGGCCACAAACAGATACCGGTGAGTTTATAACAAACCGCTGGACCTCATGGAGAAGATGTGGAGATCGACAAGTGATGCGAGGTAGTCCTGGAAGCACACAGACACAACCAGGGCATATGGTTTTGTTGTTGCCTATTACGGCTCTGTCTATCTGTCCTAGATTAGTGAGTGGAAGGTCGACCATGTCAAGATGACCTCAGTGTTCGTACCGACTAAGTGGAAAGGAAGTAGCTCAGTTTAATGGAAATAAAAAGTCCAAGATTCCTACTCACATTACATTCCCTACAGTTGCTGCTAATTGTTTATGTTTGTGGCAGTTGGACTACATTGGCGGAGTGGTTAGCAATCTCGCCTTACAGCAAGAAGATCCTGTAATCAAGATAAGATACAGATTTTACAGACTAGAGTCACAAAGCGCTTTACAATTGTTGTGGGCATTTGTCTTTTCACTCCATGCACTGATGGGAGCGAGGTCACCGTACTGAGGGCGCACACCAGACCTATTGTACTCATTTCTAGTGGTAGGGGAAACCGGAGCACCCAGAGAAAACCTACGCAGACATGGGGAGACCATACAAACTCCACACAGAAAGGTCTGGAGGGGGGATCAAACTCAGGACCTTTTTGCCCGTACAAGGAAATTAGCTTCGGCTGTTTCCTGATATGGATGTTCAATCAACAATCACAGCACACTGTTTGGTCCAACTTAACAAATATAACTTAACATTAAAATAACCATAGGGAATTTTGAAAGATTCATGAATGAATGGTCCATGGCTTTCTCTCAAATATAAGTTTATCCAAAGGTTTCCCTCATTCCTGCTCTAAAATGGGATTTGGAGGATTGTATTGGGGATTTTACTTGCACATGTGAAACAAAGATCTTCCTAACCATCACAAGGTGGTGTCTCTTGACCATGGAACTAAAATCTGTCAGACATAAGTGGTCTGCTCGGGCTCACTGCAGTCCGTCTGATATGATTGAGAGTATAGACTTTGTGCCAGAAAACAATTTCCTTGAGTCACTGCACTGTATTTCATTCCTCTGTGACGCATTGCCTTCCCCTAGGATCACAGCATACGGAGCCGCAGGCGGAAAGGGAGCCAAAAATCACAACAAGCGAAGCCACGGGGTCATCATTTCGGCCATGTTTGCGCTGGAGAAAGGAGACACGCTGTACATCTTAGTGGGCCACCAGGGAGAGGACGCGTGCCCAGGGGTGAGTGGTTGTGGAAGACTAAGCCACAGATCTGTTTATACAAATGAGTGACATGATAAAACATGATGCTACTGTTTCCTGAGGAGCAGAGGAACCAGAAGACGCAAAGGATCTGTCTGGGGGAGTCCTCTGTGATAGAAGATAACCTGAGTGGGGGGGCGGACGCTGAGCTGGCAGGAGGCGGAGGAGGTGGCGGTGGTGCCACGTACATCTTTAAGGTAACTGTAAAAGTGTTTTCTTTAACTGCTGACTTTTTGCATGGGTTTCTCTCATGGACAGTAACCGGAATGGAACATTTTAGGGATGTGCTAAAATAATTGTTTCATTAAAATTAGATACAATATAGATTATTTTGGACACTCAAAGGCGATTCACAAAGTGACTTGGAAATCAAACTCCACTCTCTCAGTAACCATGCTGCTGTGTGCGCTCCAATCATTTCCAACTGCATACGTTAAAACTCCAGATAATCTTTTTGAAAAATTATGGCATTTTCCACTGCATGCCACATGGTTTAAACTGAAATTGCACAGCTATACGGTACCAAGAGGCCCTTCACCAGCTTGTGGCCTAATGATAATAATAATAATAATAAAGGATGTGCAAACATTGTTGTCTAAACTGTATTTGTCTGTGGAGAACCATAAACCAATGGATCATAGCTTCAAAAAATGTTGATCAAAATATGTAAGAACAGAGATATTATGCAATTAACCCACAGTTTTTTTTTTCTTTTATTTCTTCAATTTATTTTTTTTGCTCTTAATGCAATTAAGCAAGAAACTTAAATGTACATTATAAATCTAATGTATGTAAAGATCAAAACTGGGACAATGAAAATGATAACATTCAGCGCTGGGCCTTGCTGGGGCACAGTGATCAATGTTTCAGATTTAGCTTTATTAAAGTATTAAATTGCACTGAACACAACAAATTATTATTAAGGTATTATTTATTCAATACTAAACAACAACATTTTTGCTATTTGAATTAAGTTTATGGGGTGGGAGTCGACAAGTTTTTACTTCCTTCCCACTCCATTTCGAGCTGAAAAATTGTAAATAGAGGTTCATTTGTAAATACATATTGATATTCATATTGTAGATGTACATCACATGGTGAAACTAGAGCAATTTTTGCTTGATTGTATAGTTATTTTTATATATTTTCATGTATAAGTATATACTGTAAGTACAGCAGGCAACATGTACAAAGAATCATGTAAACTAAGGAATGTAAATATTGTAAATACTTGTGATTGTGAAATTTCTGCTCGAATGAATAAAATCAAAATCAAATCAAATCAAAATCAAGATCACTTTTGGTTATGTGCCTTTTGGCAGATGTCTGTGACTACGAGTGCCTTTCTAGTTGATGCTATTATACCTGCATATTCTGTAAACAGATGCTAAAAGTAGCAGAGGAGTTTTTCTGTGCACTTTTCATATGGCTGATATGGTATTATTCAAAATTGCCCTATTGCGTGTTGCTATTAATTCCAAACTAACCCGACGGCGGCGGTTGTGTCCCGGTAAACAACTGAAAGGATTCAGTGGTGGTGGTTGTGTTTCAGATGGTGGGGGCTGACATGGTGCCTCTGCTGGTGGCAGCGGGCGGAGGAGGGAACGCTTACCTGGAGGACCCTGAGTCCAGCGCCGACCAGGTCCCACTGGAGCAGTTTGAGAACAGCACCAGCGCCCCCAGCAGCAGCGGCCGAACAGGGGCTGCAGGTACTGACTCTGCACGTTTGGTTTAAGCATCACATGATTAGAATAACAACAATATGATGTCAATAGTATTTTAATAATAATAATAATTTTAGTTACAAATGGAAATGACCAGTCCTCAATCTCCATGGGAGCGGGATATTTATACTACATATAAAAAGTACTCTGACTTTTTTATGACAGTCAATGACACTTTCAGAGTGGAGTTTGCATGTTCTCCCCTTGTCTTTCCATCAGGATGGGTCAAATGCAGAGGATGAATTTCCTTGCGGGGATAAATAAACTTGTACTCAGAATTCCTCGTCTGTGTTTTGTTTGCAGGTGGAGGTGGGGGCTGGAGCGGTGGCCTGAGTCCATATCCACAGGCAGGACAGTCCCTTGTAGACGGGGCCATGGGGGGGTCTGCTTGTCCTTCGGCTCTGTCTATACTCAACTGGGCCACGTACGGGGGCTTTGGGGGTGGAGGAGGCGCATGCACTGCAGGAGGAGGAGGAGGGGGCTACAGAGGTTGGTATATTATTCCAATATAAAAAAGCAACAATAGATACAATAGACCTATATTGTTGTTGTTTACTTACAAATGTGACTTTATTTTACAATATATTGTTTAAATCCCAGAATTAAAGGATTTTTGTTCCAGGAGGAGATGCTGCTGTGACTGACAAGATCTTGGCTGATGGTCAAGCTGGGATCTCGTTCATCCACCCCACGGGACAGATGTTCCTGCAGCCGCTGGCAGGTACCAAAACCTGTCGTCAGTGTCACATGTGTCTATAGTATCTGAGAAGATAATAGTGACTCTCTGTTCTCTACACAAACCACATTTTATTTTATTTAAGCCTTTGACTCCACTGTGTCAAACGGACTATGTTCACATCAAAACATCTGTTTAGCAGCATCAACTTGAATCGAAGCGGTCCCACGCGGTCTCAGTCTGTCCACAGAGAGGGAGACGCAAAACATAATCAGTCCTTTTTGATGCGTGTACATCACAAAATACTCATAAAGCATCAGTTATGCAGTATTTGAACAGTTGTCACCACAAGACATTCAGGGTCTGTGTTCCATATGAGTCTGCTTTCAAATGGCTGCTGATGACAATATTTCCGCTGTAGAGCTTCACAAAGAGCCAAACACACACGCGCTTTGGCGTTTGCAGCCAGCGATGTGGCCAAACTCTTGTTTTACACATGGCCGATGGGATGGTAACGCACATAAACACTGTCAGTAGAGTTGTGGCCGAAGAGTTGATGTTTTTTCTGCAGCTGTGTAAAGTATCTATGGAGTAAAACAGAGTGTGTTTTGTGCAGTCATGGAGAGTCATGGTGAGTGTGAGATCAAAGTGCAGCCCAACTGTAGCCGCTGTCAGACGCAGGACTGTAGACAGGACGAAGAGACTCGTGAGATCGTCTGTTTCTGCCATGATGGTGAGGTCATAGCCCAGGACAACGTGACTTGCATCAGTGTTGGAGGTAGGACATTACTGGACGTACATTCATGATTTTTACCCTATAAGTATGGACTTAATGATCATCCTGTCCCTCCAGCAGCTCCTCAGAAGCCCGTCCCACACAGCCCCGTCCCTCAGAGCCACATGTCAGTGTCTTTGATTCTGGCTGTGGTGGCTTCCACTGTGGCCTGTGGCATCGCTCTGATCTGTGCCGGAGTCATCCTCAGTAAGAGGCTTTTTCACTTCTGTGCCCATTCTTTGCCTGCTACCTTCCACCGGCTCTGAAGGAGGATTGACATACAATACTAATATGGACATTTACTGTTCCCAGTGGCCGCATGTAAATACATGTTATATGTTATGAAAAAGAAAACATGGCCAATGTATATAACCATTGTACATTGTCAGTAAATAATAGTTCTTTACTTTTGGGTGTGTCTGATAAAGGGAATTGTAACACATTTGCACTTTTGTCTTCTCTCCAGTGTTAAACATTATAATTCAAATACTCTAAACATGAATCTGTGAGTTGGTGAGAGTAAGTCAGATGTGAGGTGTGTGAAGCTAAAACAGTGTGAGATGGGATATATCTAACATAGTGTGGCATCAGTAGAACTGGTGGCAGTTTTTTAGGTCCACATCATTTGATGTAATTATGATCAAAAAAACGTGGTGGCCGTATTATACTGTATGTTGTGTTGTTCTGACCTTTGAAAGAGCTTTAAAGGGTAGGAAGTCAGCTCTAGTTAGTTCAGAGTCACTCCCACCTCAGGGGTCTGTCCCCCTCTCATGTCCCCTCCACCACACTTTCATCTCTCCTTCCTGTCCTCCTCCACTCTATGGATCCTCTTAGCCCTGCATCTGCACCCAACCAAGGGTCATCGACACCCCCATGTGCATGCATCCCTGCCCCTCTTTCCGCCCGTCCCCCTCCTCCCTGTCTCCTTCCCAGGCTCTATCATCAGTACCACCCCATCACCCACCACCTCCTCCCTGAGGAGCACCTGTCCCCAGACTCCCACCTGCATCAGGGATGTTGTCGCTGCCTCAGCGGCGGGTGAGTGCTCCTCACTTGCCCTGACGGTGCAGAAGCTGTAACAAGGAGAGGGTAGCGGTCACATTTCACATCATAAAAATAAGACTAATGTGGCAGCCTCTTTGTGTTACCGCTTCTCCTCTGGGCAGGGCTCTGATGCAGGCCACAGCACAGAGACGTTTTAAAGTCAAACTGTTTGATGTGTGCAGTGTGGTACAGACGAAAGAGTGACCTGCACGCGGTCAGAGGACGACTGCAGAGTCCAGAGTACAATCTCAGTAAGATCCGCTCCTCCACCATCATGACAGACTACAATCCCAACTATTGCTTTGCCGGCAAGATCACCTCCCTCTGTGAGCTGCAGGAGGTCCCTCGGAAAAACATTACACTTCTCAAGTCAGTATGAACACACTTGTAAAACAGGCTTCCATTTGTGGTCTCACTGACAGTATCTGTGTGGTGCAGGGCTCTGGGTCACGGGGCGTTTGGAGAAGTGTATGAGGGACAGCTCCTGGGGATGAGTGCTGATAATAGCCCCATGCAGGTGGCGATAAAGGTCAGCACCTGTCAAGAACTTAACATTACACTTAAAGGTCAAGCTCTATTTTTCCTTTCTTTTCACCTATGTCATTGCAAACACATCATTTTGAAAGAATTCATAAACAGTGATTCAAGATTGTGTTGAAGTTCATATATACAGATATACATACATACATACTGGTTGGGGTGCCCAAATCCCAGCCTCAGACGCAACAAACAACTACCACAATGGTAGACCAACCATGCAGAAGACAGTCAGACCAAAAACAGCAGAATCCAACAGGTCCATGAGCTACCACCTCAATAGACACTCAAATCATTATAATCTTCATTATTGTTATTATAAACATGTGAAAGGGAGGATTAGGTTTAGACATAGTTCCAGCACTCCATATATCCCCAAACCCTTGGATATACTTTTCTGTAGCACTTTTTATAATAGTTTCCAAAGTACTGCACATAGATTACCAATACATGCACTCACACGTCTGCCAAATGTACTGTATATAAAACATAAGTTATGAATGAAAAACACAGAAATAAATAATATAATAAATTAATTTATGAAATCAGTAAACTAGCTACATAAAATCAAAAACTACTACTGTTTGTAAAGGTTCCTTGCTGCATAGAAATACAGTATATGATTAATTTTAAGGCTTTTGCTGCATTGCTGTGTTCACAGACCCTTCCTGAGATCTGCTCAGAGCAGGACGAGATGGACTTTCTGATGGAGGCTCTGATCATGAGGTCAGCATTACACTCTTTAATTTTCTTGTGCATTGAAACGCAGAGTCATTCCCACAATTCCATGTTTCTCTGCAGTAAGTTCAGTCATGAGAATATCGTCCGCTGCATCGGAGTAAGCCTGAACATCCTGCCTCGCTTTATCCTGCTGGAGCTGATGACAGGGGGAGACATGAAGAGCTTTCTGAGACAACACAGGCCCAGATCTGTGAGTGTGAGAGAGAAACAGGAGCTGGGAACATGTTCTGACCTGCTACTGACCTGTACTGCTGTGTCCAGGGCCACACCTCCTGCCTCACCATGACCGAGCTGCTGCGCATGGCCCGCGACATCGCCTGTGGCTGTAGGTACCTGGAGGAGAACCACTTCATACACAGGTGCAGTCTACATCACTACAACTCAGAAACACAAGACACAGCTTTGAACTTTTGACACATGTATTTATAACAAAGATCGACAGCGGCACTCTTTCTTCAAACTGTTTAAAACATTCTCCATTTGTTCAATTATTTATTTCATATGATTTCATTGTTTTTCCTTTGTTTTATTTTCTGAAACAAGTAGTAGTAGGAGTAGTAGTAGTTTTTTTGAGCAGTTTCACAATGTATTTTTACAGCTACAAATCATTTCAATAAACACAGCTCAAAAGGAGAAGGCAGAAGCAAACGTCTGATACAGTATATGCCTTCCCCATTATCAATACTACATTTAAGCGACTCCAAAGAGATTCACATTTTCACGAATGACATTCCCTATTTTTACGATAATCATTGGCCATAGAACACATGGCACTGTCTCTAAACATCTCTGTCATCAGACAAGTCAGCAAAGATATAGAGTTCCCAGAATTCAAAGTATTTTTCCCAGTATTCCGTAGTTATGCTCAGTGGGTTACCTGATAGGAGGATGTTAAGAAAGGACACTTTGGAGACAAACACTTGTGTCTTCCTTTGTGTATTTAAACCCTGTGCCCCCCTCCTCTTGTTGTCAGTCACTCCAGTTTCCCTGTTCCTGTGTTTGGTATTTTTAATGTGAAATTGTTACCCTGGACTTTGGACATTTTATTTTGCAATATCGAATTGGGTTCTTTCCTATTTGAACATGCCTCGACAATAAAATCATTGAAAAAAAAAAAGATCTCATATAAAAATAATTGTAAATCAAAGCATTGATCTGCTCAGTGCTAGCCTGGTCCTACCATACCCTCATGCTAATTTATCATTGAGTTTACGGATGGCCAAGGCCAGCCTAGCTCAGTGCCCTATGCAACAATTAAAGTTGGATTCAAGACTAAATAATTGACTCAGTCAAATCTATATAAAAAACAAGTCAGTAAAAGTGAGTGGGACTGATGTGTCTGGTTTCTTCCTTTAGAGACATCGCTGCTCGTAACTGCCTGCTCACCTGTGAGGGGCCTGAGCGTGTGGCAAAGATTGGAGACTTTGGCATGGCCCGGGACATTTATAGGTGCACCATGAGAGAGAGCTTTTAGCACGTCTGCATCCGCCACTCTCTCTAATACCTCTTCCTTTTAGGGCCAGCTATTATCGAAAAGGAGGCCGAGCCATGCTGCCAGTCAAATGGATGCCCCCAGAGGCTTTTATGGAGGGAATCTTCACATGCAAGACTGATACCTGGTAAATGACATGCATACACTTCAAGCAAGGGTCTTCTTCTTCTCACTTGTAGATCTTTCTGATTTGGATGTTTACAATTCACAAACACTTCATGCATCCAATGAATGAATGGCGTCATGTTGTTGTGTATGTTGCCCCCTTAAGGTCGTTTGGAGTGCTGCTCTGGGAAATCCTCTCTTTAGGATACATGCCGTACCCTTGTAAAACCAACCAGGAGGTTCTGGAGTTTGTCACCAGTGGAGGCCGTATGGACCCTCCAAAAGGATGCCCCGGACCTGTGTAAGTTTTCTGCGGCAGCGCTAGGTTGTCGTTAGGTTGCAATCTTATTCATATCTTCCATCCATCCATCCATCCATTTTCTACCCTTTAATCCATTTCTGGGTCAGGGGGGTGGCAATCAGAGATGCCACCCAAGTCTCATAGCACCAGCCCCTCACTGACCCTCTGCAGGTGGTGAGTCCACAGGAGGACGGCTGCTCTCTGAGTGTGAGCATAGCCTTGATCTTTCAGTGGGAGCTTTGGGCAACGTGGGGTTAAGTGTCTTGCCCAAGGATACAACGACAGCAGTCATCAGTGGGAGTCGGTGGAGAAGGTGCCGAGGTTGGCTTAAGGCCAATGCTCTACCAACTGAGCTACTGTCGCCCCGATATATTCGATCGATATATTCATATCTTACTAACTTTTATTTTATTTTTTTACCTAATTTCAATTGATACTAATCCTATCCTATGAGACCCTTAATATATTTACACTGCATTGTGTTTAGTTATCGGATCATGACCCAGTGCTGGCAGCACTGTCCAGAACACAGGCCTAACTTTTCTACAATTTTGGAAAGAATCAACTACTGCACTCAGGTATGGGATGTTTTGATGACAAAATACTTCAAAACAGCTGCGACTGAACTGTGACTGTCTCTTCAGGACCCAGATGTGATCCACACTCCTCTCCCAGTGGAGTATGGCCCTGCCCAGGAGGAGGATGCAGTGACGCGTCCCTCTGTGCATCCCTCTTCCAGCCTCACACCTTTGTTGTCTGTGACCCCTGCCTCTACACAGTTCACCAAACCTCAGGTGCTCCATCACACAGGCCAACTCCTCCATCATGAGGCCATAGAGGTGCCCCCCAGAGGGGCCTGGCCACAGCCTGAAACACAGATCCAACCACACTCTGGAAACAACGCTGCCTCAGGAAGTCAGAGACTCAAGAACAAGTCCAAGAACTTGTGGAACCCCACCTATGGCTCCTGGGTTCTGGGGAGTTTCAGGGGGAAGAAAGCTCTGGCCCACACTCAGTCCATGCCCCTGTCTACCATCAGCTGTCCTCCACACACCTGCAGCTCTGAAGGCACTGACACCACCTGTGATGGGGCCAGTAGTCTGCACGTTGGGACCTCCACTGTGCTCGCCCATAGGCTCCCTGAGGGGGCCTCAAGCAGCTCCAAAGGAGGGATGGGCCTGGCCAAACTCGAGAGCTTTCCCTGCGGCAATGTCAACTACGCATACGACGGGCAAAGCAGTGAGTCTGAGAACCGGCCGTTGGCAAAGGCCGGGGCCCCAGAGGCCAGGACCAGCAGTTCTCTGACTGTGTCTTTGGGAAGTGGCTTAGGACTGGGGCTCCAGAGCGCAGCCACAGCACCCAAACTGTTCCTGAAGAGGCACGCCAGCTACGGACATGAGGACGTGAGGAGACACACTAAAGCTGACAAACCGCCCCGCGACCGGGACTCAGGATTTTCTTTGTCAGAAGACCTCAGCGTAAACCCAATCTAACTCCGGCTGAGACTAAAGAGTGGACCAGCTCATCCCATGTTTTACTACTGACTTTGCTCTTCTCAGCCAGAGCACCATGCGCACGTGATGTGGGTGTAGACTGTACGGTTTCTGTCATTTGAATGAAAGAAAAGCCTACGTGTGTAGCATTTAAAGAAACTATGTTTTTACTGTCATCACAAGAGCTTTAAATACTGCTGAGCCAGTCCAGTACCAGAACAGTAAAGTACTGCATGTATTCTGCCTTCTCTACGGTGGATCAGGCCATCTGCTTTGATTGAGCTTCTATTTTCAGTGTAGGCCCATGATGGACTGAAGCAGTAAACTGTGTAAGTAAGTCTGCCCCAGGGCAGTGGTGGTCATCAGCGTTGTCAGGCCAACATGGCGGGTGTTTGGTCTGACAAAATATAGGGACTTGTCTTTAAAGCTTTGTTTATATTTCTAAAGTCATTCATTTATGTACCACCCACCTGCCCCACAGCCAATTGTGTTTGCCTACAGACAGATTTCTATTTTACATAATTCATTTCACAGTTTATAGTTCATGCATGTTGGCTCAACAGAAGCAGTGAGTCTTGTCAAGAACGCGCTGTGAGGACTTTGAGCGCACACATAACAGCTATCCTAGTTTTACTAACACTTGTGATGTTAATACTAAAGTTACACATAAATTGTATGTATAAACAGTACAGAGAAGTACTGGAGAAGATCCAGGCCAGCTGAACACTAGAAACACAAAAACAACAATTGTGGCAGGTATATACAGCTGACCTCAAATATAAGCAGTTGTAGTTCATGTGGAAATGCGTACTAAGTTTACTGTATATCATGTCATGTCATTTTCATCACCTTTATTAATCAATTTCTGGGTCGGGGGCGGTGGCAATCAGAGCTGCCACCCAAGTCTCAAAACACCAGTCCCTCGCTGATCCTCCTGCAGGTGGTGGGTCCACAGGAGGATGGCTTCTCCGTCATTGAGGACACGGCCTTGGTCTCACAGCGGGGGCTTCAGGCAATGCTGGCAAGTGTTTTGCCCAGCGACACATCGACAGCAGACATCTGTGAGCTACTGTCGCAAAATATCATATGTTGGTTTAAACAAAAGAAAACATGGAAACATATGCTTATAGAGAGGGTTACTAACTTGAATAAACATTCATTAATCACTTACTCAGAGGACAAACTATTATAAAAGCTAAAATCTCAAAGTCACTATTCATGATATGGTTTGTTTAACTTGGTTGTGTCCAATGTTCTTGATGAGAATCTGTATAGATGTTTATTTTTGTAGTGTTGTTCTAATATTTTTTTTTTTTTTTTTACATTTCTTTGCATAACTACTGTAACGAATTGTAGTTTATTATAAAGCCGATCACTGCCATGAGACGTTTACCTGCTGCTCATTATACTTTCATTCCGTATGTAGTTTCCTTTCTACCACTGTGAATTCACTTTTATTGTTGGATACAATGTCTGCATTAGAAAACACTATAGTGTTATATTTGAATTAGATCTACATTTTTACAGATATATTTTTTTACACATACAAAATTCACATGTATTGTTCTGTAGCTTGTGTAATAGTCTATGCAATTTGATCTTTAAAACAATTACATATACCACTTATACTAATAAATATTGTTTCTTAACTTACTGCTTTTTGGTGTCTAAGCTTAATATTTGTGCAATGGAAGAACCTTGTGTACACTCTACTTATTTTTGACCCAATAGGGTGTATCTATTTATTATTGTTATCTTGAATAATAGATCTTGTCTGATGTGTGCATATCCTGAGCGCTCTTTTTTCTCTTCTAATTTCTTCTGTAATGTGTGCAAGAATGACACTGACATTTCGCCACTGAGGGACGAACAAATTAAATCTTATCTAATTTATCTGATCTTACTCTCCAATCACAAGATGGCCGCCGCACTAGCAACATAACTAAGCTTCTCTAGCTCCGTGGACGCACTGCGTGGTTACTATGGTTCCCGCATCACAAACTCAACGGGCGCACACGATGGACGTGGCGGAGAAGGAGCGGGAACAGGTGAAGTCGGTGCGGGTTCCTTTGGAGATCAGCGCCTACGCAGAGTCTCACCGCATCGTGGAGCTGACCCAGGAACTGGTCAAGGGACTGCTGATCGAACGGCCCGAAGACCCTCTGCAGTGGCTGATCACGGAGCTGGAGAGGCCGGAGCGCCAGCCCCGTGTGCTCGTGCTGGGCCCCCCGGCTGTTGGCAAAAGCACCGTGGCGTCCCGTTTGGCGACGGAGCTCCGAGCCATCCACGTCACCACAGAGAGCCTAGTGGACAACTACACGGACATCAGCGCTCAGGGACGTGTCTATTTGGACAAAGGGCAGGAGGTCCCCCCTGACCTGCTCTGTGCGCTGCTCCAACAGAGACTCAAACAAGCAGACTGCTTTAACAGGTAACGTGTGTCACCTACAAGGGCAATGTATGTCTCAGAAGACACAGTAAAAGCCTCCATGCGCACAGAATCTTCATCAAACTTTATTACAAAGTCGTGTTCCATAAATATTGTAAGAAAATAACACTTGAATCTGTAAAGCAGGTCCCAACACACCAAGGATTCAGATATTATAATCTGAATCTGGACTCTGAAACAGACCAACAACAAATCATAAATGGAGGATTTAAAGAAAAAATCTATCTATATTGGCCAATGGCCATAGCACCAAATTATTCTGAAACTAACCTGACATGAATGATCTGGTTAATAGATCATCACCAAAAATTCACGCACACATCAGGGTGAAATGTGGGTGTCTTGCCTAAGGACACCACAACCGGTTTAACAGCTGCTGCCATACAGCTGCTGTCATACATTGGACATGTTTACGTTTGTGTTTGTAGGAATATTGGAAAGCCATGGGGGACATGGGGCTCCTTGGCATTACTGCTCCAGGTAATGTATGTTTTTCATCTCTTTGTTGAACTCTACGGCGCACTGATCCCTCATTGTCTTCACCAGTGGAGTATGGGGGGACTGGGCTCGGGTACTTGGACCATGTGATTGTGATGGAGGAAATGTCCCGAGTGTCGGCAGCCATCGCCTTGAGCTACGGGGCCCACTCCAATCTGTGTGTCAACCAGATGGTGCGCCACGGCAACGAGAAGCAGAAGGAGAAGTATCTGCCCAAGGTTTCGACTTAAATCTGTCTTTTATCTGTCTTTTACATTTAAAGCACAGACAACATTCCCCAATCCTTCAAAATCCAGTCCAAGAGGCGCTCCTGTCCACATTCTGTTCACGTTAATTAGACGGACAGTATCCAATCAGAGGGGGCTGCCTCTTTGTTTGGTGAAATGTTGCTGGATTTGGCTATCTTTTAGAAAATAGCCAAAACCAGAGTATGTTCAATCAATCAACCGAATGTGTAACATGTCATCACTATCACAATGTTCTCCAGGATTGTTTTTTATTTGTTTTTTTTTTTTTTTTAAATGGACATTCTTATCACTTTTGGGATCTAACCAACAAATTGTTTCTCAAAATTATAATTAATTACTGCCCTACCGTAGCGTAAAAACATCACTCTACTCTACATAACCTATTCTAACACTTATTTCTTATTCTTAACACTGATTACTGTTGTGAATATATGTTTCCAAAGTTCTAAACTTGAGGAATGGGTTGTGTTTTGGTGCAGTTACTGAACGGAGAGCATGTGGGAGCACTGGCCATGAGTGAACCAAACGCTGGCTCTGATGTGGTCTCAATGAAGCTCAAGGCCAAAAAGCAGGGTAAGACTTAATGAAGATGATCTATCCAGTATCCACCCAGTTTCACTTAATGTACAAAGTAAACCATCCGAGTCTTGGTCAAAATTTTCCTCCAAAATCACTACAGTATTTTCTGGACTATAAGTGCTACTTTTTTTCAAAATCTGTGAGCCCTGTGGCCTATATGTGTCCAACATATGTATTTTTATTTGTATGTTTATCTTGAGTTTTTAATAAGCTGACTACTGTACATAAGTAAAGGGGTTCACCGGTGAATGTGACATAAAATGAGCAAAAAGATACAAAGCATTGGAAATAAGATTGAAGAAACCAAAACAAATGAATTCATATTTTGCAGAGATGTGAAACAACCAAGTACTGTTTGTGTCTTGATTTGTGGATTCTTGATGTTATTAAAGAGAATTCTGATATTTGAGGTTGGTTTTTACAGGTGACTACTATGTTCTCAACGGGAACAAGTTCTGGATCACGAATGGGCCAGATGCGGACGTCCTCATCGTCTATGCAAAAACAAACCCGGAGGCTCATCAAAAAGGCATTACAGCTTTCATAGTGGAGAAAGTATGTCATTTTTTTGTGTGTTTTTATATCCACCTATTCCCACAAAACTTTGTCTAAGTATTGATGCTCATCGCTCAGGGGATGCCAGGATTCTCAACTGCACAGAAACTGGACAAACTGGGCATGAGGGGCTCCAACACGTGCGAGCTCATCTTTGAAGACTGCAAAATCCCAGGTTAGCGCAACAACGACCTGAATACTACTTTCATAGTTCATAGCAGGAGTGGCCCACCTGAAGCTCTCTCGGACAATTAGAATGCAGCTTTTTGCCTTTCATACATTTAACAATATGCGTTAAAATAGTGCCTCTCCCCCTCAAGTGCCTTTTGCTTCGTTTTATTATATTTTTTTTAGAAGACAAATATTACTACTTCTAGGCAAAGTGGGTTAAGTGTCTTCCCCAAGGGTTGGGGTTCCAACAACTGCTGACATCAGTGGCGTCGGTGGAGAAGGTCTTGCGGTGGGCTCGATCCCACAACCTTATGGCTCAAAGGCCAATGCTCTACCAACTCAGCCAACTGTCTCTCTGCCTCTGTATCTATAGCCATTATAGATGTTTATCTATATATTCTCAATATCACAGTTAAGGGTCCAAAAGAACTTGTACAGTATATCAACAAGAACCCAGACCTATTAAAATAAACATATATTTTAAAATAGAATTTAAAAAGGGTCAAAAGAGACAACATACCTTTTTCAGCTGTTATTCATGGTACAACATTGTTCCCTCCTCAGTTACAGACCTGGAGTTGTTTTTAGATCCAGCCACGCTAATCAGGAAAGTCCATCACAAACATTCAACCCTGCCCCTTCTGTTTCAAAGTTCCTCTCTGAAAAAACCTGAAATAACATCTTGTGTTTGTCATATATAATATCATGAGAGTTGCTAGCGGATAGTAATATTTTTCCTTGATACAAACGTAAAATAAGTCTCTTTTAATGGCCCAGAATAATGCGTAGCTAATGCAAAACTAAAATAACTGTTGCAAATATGCCACATAAACAGCTATAGGCGAGGGCTGTGTATGGAGGGTCATACTGTATCTTAATTTTATACTTTATTCTGCTGATGACACCAAGTTTGCATGTAGAAGATAAAGCATGTGTCTGTCCTTCTGTGGTAGAGGAGAACATCCTTGGTCCTATGAATAAAGGCGTGTATGTGATGATGAGCGGCCTGGACCTGGAGAGGCTCGTGCTGGCAGCTGGACCACTGGGGTGAGTTCTTTCTGGATGTCTCCACAGCAGGGGTCTCCAACAGTTTCCCAGAGAGTTTGTTTTTCAGGGAAAAAAAATTGATAGAAATATTTGCACAAGTTCCTGATGTGGTGAATTGCGCACGGAGGGGAGGGATTGACTGAGTGGCCATCAATGGTGAGGGAGATGTTCTGGGCAGAGGGGGGGAAGAGAGATTTGGATCCACTGAGGATAAGTTTGGTTTGAGGAAGTTGTGGTCCATCCATGTATTAATAAGGTCAAAAAGGCAGTGTGCGTTAGTGGAGAAGGTAACTGGGGTAGTGGATTTGTGTGTTGTCTGCAATGATATGGCCGAGGGGAAGCATGTAGATGTCTAGGAGGAGGGGGCCGAGTATGGAACCTTGGGGAATACCAGTGGATACAGTGCAGGTATTTCATTTGAAATAGTTTTATGTAATCACAAAAATGCAACAAAGATGACTTCTGCTGTCGAATTCAGCAGCGTGGCTCATATTTGGTCTCCTTTTTACCCACTTCTCATGGATTTTTTTGTTTTATTTTCAGCCAGGTTTAACCAGTGAAGCACTCGCTCTTCCTGGACTGTATAATGGTAACATGCCTTAGCTATAGTTAGTCACTCATAAAACAAACCAATCTAATGTCCAATATGTACAATAGTTGTAGGAATGGTAAACAGACGATTTGAAATATTGAGGGGATTTTGAGTAATATCTAAAACTTGGTGAGCTTCCAGTTTCTCTTGAGCTTCAACTTGGAGGCCGTGTTCTACAGAAGACACATCCAACTCTTAAAAAAAAATGCTTCCTATTTTTTCCTTTTTATAGTTATTAACTTTGGTGTCATTACATTTTATCTAAGTGGCTTTAGCAACAAGTCTGGAAAATGCTTAAATGTAATTTTATCACAAACATAGTGACTTTGATGGGTGTTCTTCCCAACCCAGGATCATGCAGTCTGTCCTGGACTTTGCTGTGCCCTACCTCCACGTGCGTGAAGCTTTTGGACAGAAGATAGGACACTTCCAGGTGGGTCCTCCTACACTTAAAAAAGAGTTGATTCTGCACAGCTTTTGCTCCCAAGAGATTTTAATTCTCACCACACAAAGTGACGTTTCGGGTCTCTACCCTTCATCAGACATAACGCAACGCAGACTACACACCTGTATACAGTATATACACAATGATGACAGGTCTCATGACTAGGGGTGTGACGATATATCGATTTTTCAATATATCGCAATACTTTCTCCCGCGATTCGATTATCGATATGCATTTGCCAAGTATCGATATCAATTTTGAAAAAATAAAAATGAAATTGGTATAAATACTTAATATATGGCAATATTACGCATCTCCATTCTATTGACCATGAAATAAAGAGTATTTTTTCTTTTATTTATGCCATAAATTGGCATATTGTATATTTCTGACCAATATATCAATAATCGTCGTATCTTGTTAAAATCGTTATCGTAATATTGTTATCGTGATATTATCGTTATCGTGAGCTGTGTATCGTATCGTGAGGTACCCTTAGGTTCCCACCCCTACTCATGACTCACTCGATACACACAAAAAGTAATCAATGAGGTGTAGCCTCCCTGAAATGTGATGACAAGATACCACAGCATAGAATTATACCACAGCAAAAATAGATACCACAACACACATATTAACACATATACATTTTTTTGCAAAAAATTACCAAAATTGTAAATGTTTGCAACATCACATATTTACATCATATATTTACATTTGGAAGGTACCACAATGAGGATAGGCCATGCGTTTGTGGCTAATCTTTAAGGTCTACATTCCAAACACGGATACTGTTGTTAAGCTGCCTGTATGGGACTCACAGGAAGATCTAAAGAAACATGTGTCTAGTGTGTATATCCAGAAAGCTTCGCGTTTTAGTAATTGGGAATTAATGTCTCCTCCTCGGTTTGAGAGTTTCATGTGTTCGATTCCTGTGTACCTTAAGGCCTGTGTTCACTCGCACGGCGCTGGTTACGGTTGCGGTTACGTTGGACTTAACCACAGTTGGTGGTACAGTCGCGCGTTCCCCTGGCTGAGTTTTGAAGAGAATGTTGTAATCCCACAATCAACCACATTATGGCAATCTCACAGGAGTTGCCTGAGAAACCAAACCGGTCCCATTTACGCTGCAACTTTCCCCTCTTCATAACAAAAACAATAGTGAAGCTGTTTGTGCTCATTCCATGTGTTTCTACTGTAGGTTTATGTGATAGTTCTATGGACTCATTGTTTCAACTCATTTAACTGTGATGCTTTGAATCAGGGGTGCTCAATACGTCGATCGCGATCTACCAGTCGATCGCAAAGGTAGTATTGGTAGATCGCATTAAATAAATGAAAAAATTACACATTCTAAACGAATATATACAAAAAACTCCGGGCAAAGTGGAGATTTTTGAAAACTCCGTTAATGCATTTGTGTGTAGACAGAGATAACCGGAGTTTTGCGTTCTCGCACGCCACAGTACCCCCCTAAATTCCTCTGATCACTGAAGCATGGATCATACAACCTTAAAAACTGTTTGCTGTGAGATGCTCGCAGCAGCGAACATCCTCGCTCCACATCAGAGAGCAGCAAAGTGATCGCGGGGACTCACGCTCGAAAACAACCAAACCAGGGCTAAACCAGGACTAAACCAGGACTAAACCAGGGCTGAGGACGGGGTCAGTGCTTGTAAACATACGTCTTTAGTCTTCTATGACTGTAAAAGTGCCGTTACCGGCATCTGCATCAAAGCTCCGCCCACTTCTGTGTTTTTCCCCAACGCAGGACAGGACGTAAGAGACGCACATGTTTGGAATGTTACGAATGTGATTGATAACGCAGATGTGTGGATGCAAATTATTTTATAAACTGAGGAGGGGACATATTTGGATTTAAAAAAAACAGGCATGGCACATGGACATGGCACCACAGTCAAATGACATCTGTGTTTTACTCAGTAAAGTTTTACTGACACTTAGGTGACTGCACATGCGCAAACAACCGCGCTCAGTGCAGGAAAGCTAAACCACGACAAACTTGTCAGCGAGTTACCACCAATTTTCCGGACTATGCATCCCTGGCCGATTCAATTCAGTGCAAGTCATAAGAGTAAACTCGGGTAATGACAAAAAATGTACATAGGTAATTGTGTTGTGTTGTGCTATATTGGCTCATGCGGTTTTGCATGTACATAAACATACATTGTAGATATAAAGAATATTTTTTGAAATAAATATATGATTTGCATTTTTGTAGTAGGTAGATCATTTTGACTTGATCCTTTTATAAGTAGCTCGCATGCTGAAAAAGTGTGAGCACCCCTGCTTTGAATAAAGACACAGTTCTTGTTGGAAACATAGTTATTATTCAATTGTATTCAGCACAAACAGCAAAAAAAAGTGGTAAATATCTGAGACAAACATGAACTATTTAAAAGTGCAGGAGGAATGCAACAGACGCGATAAGCAGCGTAAGGGCCTTGCGGTGATCCACGCGTTACGCAAGTGACGTCACGTCACCACCGTAAGCTCCGCGCGACTGTTCAATAGGGCAGGCTTTAGTGTGCTCAAAAAGCCCAGTGGCTGTTCACTTCACAGAAGCGAAACACAGTGGGCCTCATGTATGAAACTTGCGTAAGGCCAAATCAGGGTGTAAATGATGCGTTCGCAAAAAATTTACACTTTTCCGCATTTATCAATCTGGATGTGAGCGTACGATACGCACAGAATGTACACCAAGTCAATAGGTGGTGTAAATGTGTACGCTCATTTCACCCTTCGTCACAACACGCCAAAACACGCATGAAATTCAAGATTTGGACAACAATAAACATGTTCCCACTCTGGCAACCTTAAACGCTGCGTTTTCATGGAGCATCATGTTTCGGAATTTGAATTTGCACATCAGAAAAAGTCTAACACTCTGGAAACACGCAAACTTTGACTAAATCACAGATCATGATGAGGATCCTCTTCTGTTTCTATGATTTTAAATCTGACTTCTGTGTGTATTATTTTGATCTGTATGTTTTTAAAATGTGAAGCGCTTTGTGATCCTGGACTGTGAAAGGCTCTATACAAATACACGCGACAGGGATGTGTGACCCAGTTATTGCTGTGGAAGGCTCTGCGCTGCGTTTTCATTCGATGTGTGTAAGCCTCACACTGACACACACCCCATTAACGCATGGACCGATCGACTATGGTATTGCTCACTCCAAATGTCTCACTGCCCTGTCCACCCGCTGCGCACTCTCGGGAGTGCATCCACAGCAGGTGCTATGAGAGAGGCGCCACATAACTCCTCAAATGCTGTCATTCAGAAGTTTCTCTGTAAAATCTGGACCGCAAACGCTCTCGCAAGTGTACAGCGCTTCAGTGCATTCACAAGACGCTGCAGACGCTTCATTGATGATGCACAATATGAATTCATTCATTCATTGTTTATTTATTCACTTCTATCAAAACATTTCTGCAAATTTGTTCAAAACGCAGCTGAATAAATCGCAGTATAGTTCATTCATTCATTCAGGTCATTTATTATTTATTTATTTACGTCGAAATTTCAGGAGAGAGTGCTGCAGTGGGTCTAGACACTAGGGGAAAAAGTGTATATATAATATAGCGTATATATATATTTTTAACGTGAATAAACTCAAAAGTGCGTGCTTTTTGCGGCTTCTTAGCAGACTTCCTGCTGACCTGTTGCAAAAACAGGGCGTGCAACAGGCAGTTTCTGAATATTTCTTGGCGTGACTTTCATAAATACGCTGGTTTTGAGCATGGCATTTATCAACAGCCGCAGGTGCGTACGCTCAGATCCGTGCGTATCTCACACGTTCATAAATGCCACGTCAGTTCTTGCGTATCTGGGATCTACACCCAAAATGTACACCTTTTTCTGCGCAATTTTCATACATGAGGCCCAATGTGAAACACTATGGTACACAGGAATCGAACACATAAAACTCTCAAACCAAGGAGACATTAATTCCCAATTACTAAAATGTGGAGCTTTCTGGATATACACACTAGACACATTGAGTCCAAAGGGTCTGAATGAATCACTGCACAAACAGCAGTAATCGGTTTGCACTTGTATTACTATCGTGCTGCATTTCTCATTGAGTTTTATTGTTGGAAAATATAGATTATGAGACATTCAGCCCAAAAAAATGTATGGACAATCGTGAACTCGCCTACAAGATAATGAATGGATGGTTCCAGACTGATTATTCATTCTCCCATAGGCGTACACATAAATCTGGACGGAGCCTTTTCTAATTAAACTAATGAAAACTGAAAAAAAAAAATACTTGTAATTTGTTGAAGAGAATAGGTGCATTGTCATTCTACTTTTAAGCCATGAAACGATAGACTCACTGTTGTGACATTTGAGCTATAAAAGTGTTTTATCTTTTTTGACAGTTAATGCAGGGAAAAATGGCCGACATGTACACCAGGATGAGTTCTTGTCGACAGTATGTGTACAATGTGGCTCGAGCTTGTGATAAAGGACACTTCAGCGCCATGGTAAGTACAACAACCCACACGTTTTTTTTAAACTATGTTCTCATTTTAACAAGTACTCTGCGTAGGACTGTGCTGGAGTCATCTTGTACTGTGCTGAGAACGCCACACAAGTCGCTCTGGAAGGAATACAGTGTTTAGGTGAGTCTCTCTCTGCCTGTTTTTGTCCTGCCTTGTTTTTTGTAGTTGCAGTATTTAACTTTGAAAACGACAAAAATTCTCACTCTTTACAACAGTTCGATTAGTTTTCACAAACTTGTATTTTTGATCAGCTTTTTCAGACCAAAAAGTGAAAAAGAGGAGACCACCCTCACCTTGCCCATCAGCTTTCAGCCCAAAGAGTCAAATAGTGTATCTTTGATACATATGCAAAAGATAATATGGTTGATAAGATAGCACTATGTTACAATTCAGAAAACTTTTTTTTTTTTAATCCCCATTGCCGGCAGATCATATTCATAACTATGCTGCAGCTTGCTCACCAGGAAAATAAATGTAAAAAATCACAAAAACAAAACATTAGTTGTGGATTAAGTGGAGCATAAAAGCAAGCGCATCATTTGAGTTAATCAACTTCTAAAGAAATAAAGGACCTCAAATGGGGATTTTGGTCTGGCTCTGTACACATTGTACCCCAACCCAGGCGGCAACAAGGAGTCATTCAGTATTCAAACTGTTCCTACTTTACACAGACGGCCATTGTACCAGGACATGAAAGATAAAGTTAAGATGTTTCTGATAAAGAATGATAAAAAATTGCACACAAAGCACATTCTCTTCTAATATAATACAAGCCTGCTTATCAGGATGTGGGGCTTCAGCTTGTTCAATGCAGAGGAAAAGTCTGCAAATAGAATCCGAGCATGTGATCCTGGTTTTCCAATACGATTGTAGATCATATCCAGGATAAAAAGATTGGCGTCCTCCAAGGCCTTGTTGGTAGGCAAATTGTATTAGATGTTCTTTACCCTCACAAAGCTCTTTCTGTTGGGAAAAACAACATGTAATATTTATTAAACTAAAATATTAGGGACCTCAGTGTTGAGTCAAAACAAGAAATACTACATGAGGCTGTGAGAGAAGTAGAAAGGTGATTGTTCCGCTACTGTTCTGTATCACAACACACCTTTCACTGCCTTTCTCGCTGTGTGCAATTTTTACAGCAGGCCACTCATGCGTTTTGTGTGTACTCCAACAACTACAAATACAACATTGTATAACCAATAGTATGACTTTTGTTTGAAGTTAGATGAAACTGTCTGTGGCTTGTGTGCACCGCTGTGATTAGTTCAGAGGACTACTGCGGTCTTCCCGTAGTCCTCAGTCCTGCTCGTGACCCTCAGCGTAGTGTCACCTGCAGATGTTTTTTACAACTTTTGACTGCTGAAGCAGCGCTCAGACCTACCCTGAACACGTTTAATCTCTCAGTTGCTGTTAGTAAAGTGGATAAGATGTGTGGTTTATACAGCCTTAAAACATAGAGCTGCTACTTAATCGCTGCTACAATAAACGAGAGACTGTATATGTAAACAAGAGACGGAGGACTGAGGCACTCAAAAGTTACAAAAATCTTTAAAAGCCTTTATATAACTTTAACGCAAATTGACTTTTTTGCCTTACTTATTTTACATCCCAAAAGCACTCCACCCCCATCTACAATTTTTTTATTTATTTTTTTACCTCGAGTCTCTAGAAAGCTGATAGAAATTGTGGCATTGTTCTGTCGACAGGTGGAAACGGCTACATCAACGACTACCCCATGGGGAGGTTTCTGAGGGATGCCAAGCTATACGAGATCGGAGCAGGCACCAGCGAGATCCGCCGCCTCATCATCGGAAGGTCCTTCAACGCCATGTTCAAATAGTGTGGACCGTGTGTGGACGAACAGTTACTGACACCAACAGCCTTATGCTCATGGGACTTTTTTACAGAGGCCACACTGCAATCTCCGGCCCTGAGTGATCACAAGATATTTGCACAGTAGTGACACACTTTAGCTTGATTATTGCAGTGCCGTGTCCTACGCAGGCTACATTTCTAATAAAACACTCCAGAGAGCTGCGTAGTCCCGCCCTCTCAAGGCTCCGGAAGTAAAATCCACTTTCAACTGTAAGTAGATGTGAGGGGGGGAGAAAGCACTTTTGAAATCATTCTAGTTTGGGATCAATACAATTTTACTTTTGTCATCAAAGTATATGAAACTCGCTTGGCTCCTTAACAACCTGATAACACCTGCGTTTATTGGAATAAATGTATACGCTTCATTACGTCTCCTTATGTTTCAGGCTTAGAAGGGTCTTATAATGAGACAGATGTGTAAAGAAGCTAGTACTGCTTCATTACCTGACTTGTTTTGACAGTAGACTTCCACCTTCGTCAGAGGTTGCAGGTGTCAGTAACAACAGGTGAAAAGAGACGTATGTCACCTCTGACGAAGGCACCGCTGTCTTTTCGCTCTGTTGCTGTAATCAAGCAAAACTAGCTTCTTTACACTTGTCTTGTCCTTTTTGTAAGAACCTTCTAAGCCTTAATGGTGTATGCGAGTTTTTAGAATTGGGTGGTAGTAGTGTACACAGCCTTGTACCTGTTCAACATTATGTCGTCTTTTTGGATTGAAATAAAACATTTTGTGGTCATTTTGTATCTATTGAGCTTTTGCAGTGTCTAGTAAGATGGTTTTTTTTCTGGATTCTTTGCATCTGTAGCCTGGCAACTGGACCGGGACTACGAAGCTCATTCAAGCTCCAGAGAGCTCTAGTTAATTCTATTTCAAATCACACATAACATTTATGGGAGGAGATGATGAAAGATGTGGATAATGGACTTTGATCAGTGGCTACAAAATTTACTGAGATTTGAGTTTTCTTGAAATTTGATTGTAAACTGTAACCACTGCTGCTGTCTGCTGAGAACATTGTAGATAGTGTTTAGTAGTATTTGTTTCTCTAAATATCACTTATTTGTACTAAATGTAGAACCTTTTGGAATATATATTACTTTCTGAGTTCTGTTTGTTCTTGTTCTTGATTAATTTATGAAACATTTTCTTTTGTTATTTTACCCAAAGTACAGTGCATTCCAATTTGAAGAAAAAATATATTTGTTCATCCATCCAATATATACAAACAGTTGGACAATCTCAAACTCCTAATGTGCTACTTACTACCAGGTATTTCCCTTTGAATGGACCAGTGGCTTTTCCAAACAGTGTTTGTGAGACTATTAAGCACATTTGTATATTTTGAAGTACGTTTGTCCCACATACACACCGCACTTTTATATAAGCACAGATGTTGTAATAAACACTTAACCAACAGCTGATGGAGAAAAAAATTATAGACTGTTAAGCTGGACACAACATGATTTAATGCACTGCTGACTTGTTATGATGATGATCAAAGCTAAAGGTGAAAAAATGCCATAAACTCTTGAGGAGGCAAAATCAAGTGGGACTTTTTTTAACACTAATAGATTGGGTGGAGTCAAAAATAATATTTGAAGGTTTCAGGGAGAGAGAGGTGCTCGATATTAATCATGTTGAGGCTAAAAAAAATGGAGGATGAATGTACAGATGTGCCTGGACTGTATGTGCGCCCCTTTTGAGCGGTCTTCTCTGCACTCTGAACTCCGGGCCGTAGACGCGTCATGGGCCCTTTAAGAAACTCCATGTTTGCGCTCCGTGGTGCGTCACTGTGAGAGAGGATGATGTTGTTATGTAAAACCCCCCGCTGCTCAACTTCTACCGAGCCTCATCATGTCTGACGTGGTCTACGGGTCTCTGCTCTCTGCTCTCTGCGCCGCGTATGGAGTTTGAAAAGCAGGTATTTGTACAGAGGGGAAGGTCCACATCTCTCACAGATCACATGCCTCACCATGAGTTGCGCGCTCTGGTCCCAGGTCCTCTTCGTGTAGTGCAGGAAGCGTACACTTGACTCTTTCCTGGTGCTTCTGTACGAGATCTCTCATCTTTCTGGTTCTAATACACACTGATGTGAAAAGTTGAGCTGTTTCATAATGTCATAATTGTTGCACAGGTGTCGCGGTTCACTCTGCGGTCACTTTGCTCCACAGCGAGTCCCTAAAGGCTCTTTTTGACACAACTTATCGGCAGTCTTCCTGATAAGCAGTCCAGGATCAACACTTTATATAGATTTTTATTTTAAATGATCAACTACCTAACTTCATCTCATAAATAAGTGAGTAAAGTTTATTTGAATAGTGCCTTTCACATACCAGGATCACAAAGCGCTTCACATTTAAAAACATACAATACAAATATATGACTGTTTTTATTGTTTTGTTCTGGTTGTGCAGCGCTTTGTAAATACTGTTTTTGGAAAAGCTCTATTATTATTATTAGTGTTATTATCATCATCATTATTATTAATTAAAAACACATACAAGTCAAATACAAAAACAAAAAACATCATTCTCTAACAAAATATGCTTAGTCCTATGTGAGGTGAGATGATGGGGGAAAAATTTGCCAAACTTGCGTGTTTAAACTGTCCCCAGAATCCAACATCCAACATGCACATGGGCTGGGGAGGCTCATTCCAAAGGCGAGAAGCAGCAGCCATGTAGGATCTGTCTCCCAGGGTTTTAGAAAAACAGATGTTGGGGACCATCAACAGGTTCTAGGTGGAGACCTCAGGATGCTGTTGGAGACATAAGGCTGAATCAGGCCCTTAATGCATTCAGGCGTTTGCGTTTTGTTTTAGCCCCATTATTAATTATATCCTAATTCTCCTTTTTTTCTCACGGGTAACATTCAATCTTCAGGACATGTTTATTAAATGAGGGTCAGATGACAGGCTTTTTGTCTACATACTCTCATGTTGTCATAGTTTCACAAAATGTAGTCACAAAAATACAAACAACCCAACCCATGACTTAGCCTCTTCCATCTTAGTAATGGAAAGAAAATAATCATGGTGGTCATGTTTTTGATTCGAACTCTTGGATTTTAATAACACTATTCAGATTTTTGTTATCTGCCATGGAAACCTTCCTGGATTAGAGATTTTGATGATGGGATATGTACATACCCTGTGCTGAGATGTGTCTGTATTTGCAGGACCATAAACACTATGGCAACATGCTGAGTAGCCCCCTCTGAGGTGTTCTTCAGTGTGAACATGACAAAGACTCAGAGTAAATGTAGAAAGGTTAAGGAAAACAAATGGAAGAAGGAGATCCCAGTAGCCAAACCTGATCATCTAGTGAAGAGGATAAACAAAAAAATGAGCAAACACAGGAAGACAGCCACAAAAATCAACCTCAAGGATTCATTAAACCACGCCCAGCTGGATGTCAAGAAGAAACCAAGAAACAAGGCAAAAGTCAAACAAAGAAAGAAAAGTGACCAAAGCAGACTAAAGCATCCAACCATTCCAAACAGTGAGAAACCAAAAATCAACCACTCGCAGACCTCCTCAAGGTTATCACCAGATCCATGCAGGCGCAGGATGGCCTCCCTGAACGCAGAGGCTGTGAATAATCTACTGTTCAAGAAGGATCCAAAGAGCTCCAGAAAGACACAACATCCCAAGAACAAGAACACAGAAACAGAACCAAATGACCAGACAAGCAAAACAAATCCACAAACACAGGACATGTCAGCCACACAGGACCAGAGCACGGACTGGATGAGTATATTTGCACCTACACCTCGGCGACAGGCTGGAATCGCTGCAGCGTCACTTCTCAAACTCACCAGTGCTCAGTGCAGGAAGTGGCAGAGGAAAGGGAACACACATGACACCAAGCGCACACCGCAAAAACACAAATACCAAAGAGCAGAGCGGAGGAGAGGGCCGCACAGATGTTCCGCTCAGACTGGGAGATCTGAGTGTAGCTTAAAGAACGATGCTCAAATACAAAAGGTGGAGAACCATAGAGCACCATCCTACTGCTGCAGTCAGGAGCAGTGTGTCCAGTGCTGCCACCGCCTCGCCCTCTTCCATCCGGGCAAGTCTTGTCAAGGACCGGACAATGTGTTCCACCATCACCACCACCACCTTCACCACCACCACCACCACCTCACAACCCTCAGCCCAAACTCCTACACCTGCTTCCCTGCATACTACTTCCACTTGTGCCACCCGTCTGTCACAACACAGGAAGTAGGTACGAGCAGCAGAAAGAGCTCAGGGGCCCTAGGGATCTCTCACCCAGTCTACTGCTGTAACCCCTCGACGATCAGTTACCAGTCTTGCTCCGGGATGACTCCAGCCATCTGCCACGTGTGTTGCTCTCAGTGCATGCACAGAGTGAAGAAAGGTGAGGTGCTCGCCAGTCATTTTTGATTGAACATAATCATACCTGAAACCATGTGCTCAGAAATGCCATAAGTCCATAAACTCTGCTCCAAATACACAAAAATAATCCCAAGAAATGCTTAAATACTGGATAGTTTTTCATGTCCTTCTCGTTTAAAAAAATCTTTCCTTATCCATTGAGGTATTATGAAATTATCTTGAAAAATGTGCTTAATTACAGTGGATAATACAGTGGTTAGACATCTGTATTAACAAGATCTTCATCACTATGTTTATTTGCAGCCTTGAAAATTGAAATGATAAAAGCATTTGCCTCGGAAAAACCATAGTAATAACAATAATAATGGTTTTATATAGCGCTTTTTTGGACACTCAAATACGCTTTTACATGTCATTAATCATTCACTTCATACACGGTGGTGATAAACTACTACTGTAGCCACAGCTGCCCTGGGGCACACTGACAGAAGTGAGGCAATCAGTATGTGCCATCAGCCCCTCCGACCACCACCAACCACTTACACACACACCAGACTCATTCTAGGCAATGGGGGTGAAGTGTCTTGCCTAAGGACACAACGGCAGTTTGGCACTTTACAGCCGCAGCCGCCCCACTGTGGCTGGTGTTCACAGAGGTTAAGTGTCTTGCCAAGGACACAACGACAGCAGACAGTGGGAGTCAGTGGAGAAAGTCTTGTGGTGGGCTCGAACCCACAACCTTCTGGCTTAAAGGCCAATGCTCTACCAGCTACAGTCTATCTCTAGTATTAGTTGGTCATAGAACGCCTAAATATACCGGTTTCATCTTTGTTAAGTATGCGTTCATTTCTCCTGGTCTTTTCTCTGGTCTTTTCTCATCAGAGGAGTTTCACCCAGCCGTCAGTGACATCCCCAGCCCATCTCCCCTCATGTGCCCCAGGGCTCTTACCGCCTGTCCCACTCCTCAAGTGCCTCCTCCAGCCCTGTCCTCCCAGACAAGACCCCCTGCTGTTCCTTTGCCTTTGGATCACATCTGTCCCCAGAGCACCCAGACCTCCAGAGCTCTCCACACAGGCCCCATCAGGGACAGAAGTCACACACCGTCTGTCGTCTCTGTGGCCAGGAAGAGGCACCAGAGAAGCACCAACGGATGGAAACCCGTGGGTCAGTCCTACCAGAAGGAGGTGTTCACTGCGGTACGTTGAGCCTGTGATAGGAATCTCTTTTGTTTTTGTGATTGTCAATTAGTTGCATGAATGATTATGTAGTCTAGAGCCGAGTAAGATGTGCGCAAACATGGAGCAGGATGTATGCTGTATTATGTACAAAAAAAGTGGCAATAGCAGAGCTGTTTTTTTTTTTTATCCTAGTGCAAGTCATTAGTGACTTAAAGTGACTTATTGTACAGTCTGACAGCGGTGGGGATGAAGGCCAGTCCATCTTTCTAATATGAAGGAGGAAAATCACTTCCATTCAATTTCAATTCATTTTATTCTTGCCCAGCCCTAAATCACAACAGTAGTTATCTCTGGACTTTACCCAACAGTTGAATTTGCCAACACAGATCAGTTCAAACACAAGAAATAGAACAGAAAACACAACATAGGTATTGGTTCATAAAGGGTCCATGTCCAGGTCTGGAGGGGGAATTGAACCCATAGGCACAAACGCTAACCACTGCGCCACCGCTACTTTAATGCTATAATGCAATAGTTTCAAGGCAAAATAACTTGTCGATTTGACCCAAACCGAATGCCCTCCTCCAGGATTGTTGCATTGTGCACCTTTTTTTATGTAAATGTAAAAATGAAAGTGTGGGGTCATTTCCAGGGTGAGGAGACGCCCGTGTGGAGGACATGTTTCGAGGCCGTGCAGCGAGACGAAGAGGTGGTCCAGGTTCGGGACACGGTTCTTCTGAAGTCTGGATCCAGGAAGAAGAGTCTGCCTTATGTGGCCAAAGTGTCAGCTCTGTGGGAAGACCCGGACTCAGGTCTCATGCATGCCCTGAGGTTGTGGAGTCCTTGTATGGGCACAAGTTACCGTTATTGTTTTGTGCTTTTAGGAGAGCTGATGATGAGTCTGTTTTGGTACTACCGGCCAGAACACACACAAGGAGGACGCAGACCCAACGTCCACTGTGAGGTTAGAAATCTCTATGATACTTTATGGAGGGAAAAACTAAATTGAGATAAATATAGCTACCATTACTCTCTCTCTCTTTTGTATTTGTTGTAAAGACCTATGGACAGTATGGATCTTTTCTAACGCGTTTTTGTAAAAGGGTTTGCTATGATTCAATATATATTTGATCTTTTCAGTTTGAAAGTCAGACAGTTTTATAGGCCGCCTAAAAATACAAATAAACCTGCTGTAATTTATATTTTTACCAAAAATCTCAAAATCCATGGAGGTAGATGGCTTTGGTGAAAACAAGCGAGAGTTTTAAGGAGGCTATTTGTTCTGCTGCTGTGGAGCTGGAGGAGGAGGATTGTGGGACATGAGTTATTCTCTAACCTCATTCTTATGTGGTTTTGCAGAATGAGGTGTTTGCGTCTCGACACCAGGATGTGAACAGTGTGGCCTGTATCGAAGACAAGTGCTACGTTCTCACACTGGCTCAGTATTGTCGGTGAGTGAGACATTTTATAGGTCAATGTTCTCCAAGTGATGTCAAATAGGTACTGTATGTCTAACGCCTGTAATGATTCACTCTCAGTTAAAATCATTAGATTTTGTATTACTGAATAATGTCATATTGTTTTTTTTAAACAGTGCCAAACTTTATTGTCATTTTGTGACTTTTGTGATCTTGATGTCATCAGCTCCCAAACTCTGCTCTACATTTCTTTATGTATATTTTTCATCTTCCATAATGTCACTGTCCCACGATACATGCCCACATTCATCCTTTCCTTAACTCCACTTTGCAGGAAAGCAGCCCCAAACCCTAATGTTTCCACCCCCATGCTTCACAGTAGGTTAGGTGTTCTTGAGATGGAGCCACTGACAGGTTCCTATGCTTATGTCCAGGCCCGTGTAGTTTCCATTGACGCTCTGGATGATCCAGAAGATGCCTGGGAGAATATCATGGTCAGATAAGACCAGAATAGAGATTTTTGGCATGACCTGAGTTGTCTTGGGAGGAGCAAGAAGAATACTGAGTCTGTTATTTTTTACAAATGTATTTAATGTTTTGTGCAGGTTTCGTGCCTTGCTGAAGCGGCAGCGAGAGGGTGTTGGCTTCGGTGCTGCGTCTGTGGTGCCTCCTGCTCTGCAGCACAGCCTCCACTCTCTGCCTCCGGCTCTGGACCCTCAGCTGGTCTTCTACTGTGGCCATGTCTATGATTACCGCTATGGACGTCTTCTCAAGAACCTGCAGTAGGTCACGAGGGACACAAGGCCTGGAGAGCAGTTACACACAAGCACCACCAAAGCACCTGTAGGTCCAGATGTATTTTTTGTGTAAAATATTTAATAAGATCTCATTTTTAGTGCTCATGAACCTGGATACTTACTGTGACCTCAGATATGATCTGTAACTTGTCCCTTGTTTGTCTCTAGTAAACATGGGTGAGTTTAACCATAGACAGTATATCATTAGTTAGTAAATGAGTTTGTTTATGTAAAAACTATTTATCAATTTACAAAGAAAAGGGGCAGATGGCAGTTGGTGAGTGCAACTTTTAAATGTAATACCAATGAAACTAGAAAAGTGCAAATCAAACTATTTCTAATGTGGTTTATAGTCATTTTCATTTCCTTAACCCTACGTCTTCAGGGAAGATGACTGGTGCTGAAGGGAGTTTGTTCAGGCCTTAAGAAGAGAGTTGATCTCAAAGCAGTTTGGTTGCTGCTGAGAACCATGACAGCTGTAGATGTGGCTCCCAGACTTCCAGTTTGATTTAAAAGAAAAACAAAACAAATCTTGTGGAAACAGAAAATGGTTTTTTATGTCCCCTCCTCAAATGAGTTTAAGAATTGTTCACATTCTCAAGCACTTCTGTCAACTACTAAACTACTTTTTTATTTTTTAACGCAAACAAAGTCTGCTTGGTTTGAGGTGACTTCAGACTGCTTCTTTTGGACCATACTTTGTAATTTAGACTTATATTTGTATTAAAACAGAGTTTATTATGACTTTAAAAGCACCATGAAAATAAAATATTTATTTTTTACAACACAATACATCAGTGTCTTGGTTATAAAAATGTTAACAATAAAAAATACCATTTTATATTGTTAACATGCTTCCTTTGAAATCTTTTTATTTTTTATATAATTAATATATATATATATATATAATGTATGTATATGAGCGTTATGTCCCTGCAAACTATTGTATGTGGAGAAAAATCAATGAAAATGTTGACGTTTTTTCCAAATAATCACAATTAAATGTTTAAAAGTAGTGTTTTTAATATATGGCACATGTACTACCGCATACGTATTTTTAAAAGACATGCAGACAAATTATATTATGAAATAAAAAACTCAGGGAGGACATGCAAACTCAACACTGAAAGGCCTGGAGGTGGAATCGAACCCCGGACCAAGGATAGTGGTAGTGCTGGACCTTGGTGTTCTGCCCCTTATGGACCAATGGCTCTGTGTTTATCATTTGAAATGTGTGATTCTCCGATTTGTGTTGGTGAATCAACAACTTTGTAAAGTCCTAAGTCAGTGATAACTACTATTGTGATTTAGGGCTATGCAAACATGAATTGAATAAACTCTATTGTCACAGCCACTTTAAGAGTAGTTTTAGCTCTTTTCTACAGTCAAAAGACAGACAGTTCCATGAGTTTATACATTTAATAAGGAACACTAATCAAGTCATGGTTAAAACATCAATATGAAAACTTCAGTGAACAAAAACAACAAAAACATTGCATCAGGAATGACACTGCGTGTGGTCTATTCTGTACTACACAGTATTCAAAAAGAATGGTGAAAAGAAAAGGACAGTATTCATGGGACATCCTCACTAATCCTTACTCCACTCTCACTTCATTGAATCTGAAGGACTGATCTGTATTTGAACTGGGGTCACTTCTCTGAGCTGGGAGACTCCTCTTCAGGCAGCTGTGGCTCGGACTCGGGCTCTGGCTCGGTCTCTGGCGGTCGCTCACTCTGTTGGGTCTGGTTGGGTCTCAGGAGGTACTCTAGCTCTTCCGCACTGATGGCCACTTTCTCTGGAACCAGCCACCGCTTGAAGTGTTCCAGCGCACTACAAAAATCATGGATATTGTTAGTATTAGATAGCAATATGGCCTACGTGCAGGACTGTACAAGGACTCTACAAGGACTCCATGTTATGACTATGATTTGACTGTCTCTTTGTGACACGTATGTCTTTCGATGTGTGACGTGACAATGACTATATAAACTGTGTACTGCCTTTATTCTGTCTGAGAGAAAGAAACAGAGAAAACCAGTGGAACTTGAGAGAAACATAAATAAACTTCCAGAGTTTGGCACACCACGATCCGTCTCTGTCTGCTAAATCCTAACAGATTTGGTGGAGAATGCGCGGCTCGGTTTGTGCCATTCTCTGGATTGTTTTGAGGGAGTTTGCTTTGTTTCTTTTTCTCGGCGTGGGAGAGCTGAGAGTGTCTGGGGCCTGGGAGCGGTCCAGCAGGCTGGAGAGGCGACCGGCTCCGGGACTCTTTTTCGCTGTCTCACTATATTTTTTTGTGTCCTGTTTTTTGGACTTAGCGTTTCAAATTGTTTTCCCATGTCCGCATTCCGGGGATTTTTGACGTGCGATTGGTCTCTGCCGATGGAAACTAGTTCCCGGTACTAGTGAGCGCTGGTTCATGATCTGGAGACCTGGTTGGACATGGAAAAGCTGATATTTGGTGGACTTCTGACCGTGCCTGGGCCCTGTTCAACAAAAGGTAAGAGCGGACACCTGTTTATTCAAAGTCTGCTAATTGAGTGAACTAAATTATGGTCTGTTTAGAGGTCTGCCAAATGTCTAATATCTATAGATAAGATTAGAGAGAGAAAGGAACCCCTGACGTATCGGGGTCCCTGTCCTTTGAAGTAGTCAGGACAGAGAGAAAGGAACCCCTGACGTATCGGGGTCCCTGTCCTTTGAAGTAGTCAGGACAGAGAGAAAGGAACCCCTGACGTATCGGGGTCCCTGTCCTTTGAAGTAGTCAGGACAGAGAGAAAGGAACCCCTGACGTATCGGGGTCCCTGTCCTTTGAAGTAGTCAGGACAGAGAGAAAGGAACCCCTGACGTATCGGGGTCCCTGTCCTTTGAAGTAGTCAGGACAGAGAGAAAAAGGAACCCCTGACGTATCGGGGTCCCTGCCTTTGGAGTAGCCGGGGCAGAGAATAGAGAATAGAAAATAGTTAGTGAAACCATGGTGTAAACAGAAAAGCAATTTATAAAAAGGGAAACGTGTTAAGGAGGCCTTTGTTACAAAAGCTTTGAAATTGACGAATTTCAGGCTGATAAATGACAAAAGTAAAGAAACAACAATATTTCAGTGATCACGGTTTAAATTACATACAGAAAAAGGGAGTTTTTGTTTTTGGCGTGAACAGAGTTCACCGGAGAATGCAGAGTTTTATCTAAAGTTGAGCTATGAGAGCTTTCGTGAGTTATTTACATTTTTTGCCGAGTTTTATCTACAGTTGAGCTATGAGAGGGTTGTATCCAACAGTTGTTTTTGTTTTTTAGAAAGAGATTTTGAGTTTAAACTAGTTTGCTACCTCGATAAAATAGAAGCGTAAACGTTAAAGACAAGAGTGCCTTTTGTTACAAGTGTGGAAAGTGATCACTTCTAGATTTGGATGACAAAAGTATAAAGAACAACATCAGTTATATTCGCTTAGCAAAGTAATCTTGAAAGTTATTCTTCTGTATCTTTCTGCCTGTGCGTGTGTGCGTCGCACTATCTGCTGCCGTTGTCAGGGAAACGGCCCCCTCCTTCGCTGCTCTGGCTGTGAATCTGAAGCAAAGCTACTGCTTTAGGACTTTTGGCTTTTCATAGTTGTTATTCCGTTAAATTTGCTAAATTTGCCATTTGAACATTGTGTTAGACACAGTTAAACGTTTTTAAACACCATTAGGGAATAGAAGTTTTGAATTAGTATGTTTTTGAAACCCAAAGATTAGTACAAAAAGCTTTGCTTTTCTTTTTAAATCTGCTGCTTATTTTGTGAGTCCATTATTGTATCTCTGATATATTTCATAGCTGTTTGTGAGAATTTTTTCATGTATTTTTTATTTTAGTTACAAAAGCCGTTTTTCAAACATTTAAATTAGAATCTGTTAAAAGTGATTAATGATTGTAGACTTCGTCTAAAAAAGAAAGAGGGAATTAGGCTGTAAAAGTATTATATTATTAAGTTAAACTACCCAATTCACCCAATTCACATTCAAGTGGTGACTTTTGTTTTTGTTTTGACTATGCACCTGACCTTCCTCCTGCTGCAGATGCACGCAGTACAGGAGCCTGGTCTAAAATGTGCTCCAATTCATACTGACTTCATTTGAAAAATGCTGCAATTATTTTAAATTAGTAGAATAGATGCTGAGATAAATAAGTGTAAAAGGGAAAGTCCATAAAGTGAAACCCAAGATGTTCAAGATTAAAAACATCACACAGTACAAAAGTACATAATACATATTTTAAAGTTTGAAGGTTTAAGAGATTTGAGTCTTGTTTTTTTATATTGAGAGTTTCTGGTTTTAAATGTCATCATTAGTAAGATAATAAGTAATCTTTTATTTACATAGCGCTTGGGAAAGCCAAGAGCGCTTCAAAATTGTTTAGACTTCAGAGAGAAAAACAATCTCATTCACAATCTCTGTTGTTTTTAATTTGACTATAAGGTTGTTTTCCAGAACCAAGAGCACACACTGTACAGGGTCACTGCTGGACACTGGACAGCGCAAAGCCCACCCAGCCACAGGTCACAGATCAAAGAGCAAAGGAAAATGCCACCTCCTTGCCCCTCCCCACGCCACTGCAGAACTGAGTGGGTGTGAGAGAGACCGGGGCCATGAAAGAGAGGTATCTGGAGACGTGATGGGTGGAGCGTCAGGTTGAGACCTGAATGAGAGTTGAGAGTGTGTCCAGTTGGTTTGCATCACCACAGTGTGACCTTTGACACCTGCAGGTGGTTCGAGGAGTCTTGAGACACAACCCCAAAATTCATACACACACACACACATACACACACATACACTCACACATTCACATTTACATATAGATACATGAAAAAGCAGAACATGAGAAAAAAGCATTTTAAAAGTTTACTCCAATGTAAACACATATTTTTAATTGTCTATCACTTGAATCTTTAGTTGAATCAGTATTTTTTGAGACCAGAAATGTTCATTTGAATTCTATATTGTCATGGATTTAATTGACCTCTGTCCTGACACTTTTGATTTGTTGATTTTGTACTGTGTGAAGTAATTACATTGATTAGAATTAGATCTGATAAAAACACAAATTAGAGAAGTAAACTGAATCATTGCGCTTGCTTTTTGTCTGAGGGACATTAGCAACAGCATGAATAGAAATTGTCTTTAAAGTAGAATCAAAGTGACTTAACCATAGAGAGTAACTACTGCATTACAAGCTGTGTACAGGAACTGTGAGACACTGCACCATTGACCAGAAGTGCATCGCAAATGACCTGATGTGCTTCAACTGAAAAGACTGTATCTGGAGATCCTGATTTGCATCTGGAGAAACCAAACCATGGCTTGGACCCTACTGATGACATCTCTCTATGACCTGACCTGATGACGACTGAGACTCACCCTCAGGGGACCCTGAGGACCTGAGGACCTGAGGACCTGAGAGAGAAAACTGGGGAGTGATGTTTATATTTTTGAAATCATACATTGATGAGTGCTAAATGAGAGAGATACTCATGATTCTTTTGTTTTTGTTTGTCCCTAGCTTTTGGACATCTGATGATCTATTGGACACAGCCATTTGCAGAACAAGAACCAGCCAATGAAAACGTCTATTGCTGATGCTATTGCTACAACCAGAAACTGTGACCAAATGCAATATACATGTTAAGTATTCAGACATCTGACAGACAAAAACTTTGAAAATGATAAAGTATGATTATTGTAGCGTTTTAGTAGATGTTAAATAGTAGTAAAAAAGTAGAATTGTCCTTTCTTTGTTGTTCATAAACACATTTCCACATAAGAGTTAAAATAGTACCCTACAATGTTATCCTTCTGATAGAGCAGCTAGAATATTAGAATCAGAGTATTTTAGAGATATTGAAAGTGACAGAAGTCACAAATTAGAAAAATGCCTTTGCTCAAGCTGCAGCCGAGCTTTGGAGTTAAAAAATAGAGGAAATATAGAATTAGATAAATGCATCAACCATAGATGCTTTCAAAAATAGAGATTATTTGTAGCCAGTGCTAATATCAAATGGTAAAGGGACCATTTCACAAGCATTTACTTCAAAAGTAGATAAAGTTAATTACAGTTTTATGTACAGTTTTATTAGATACTGCCAAATTCACTTGTGTTCACACATGAGTGAATGTTGACAATGCAAAAAGTTCATATGAGTGTAGCCTAGATTAATGCCTAGATCAATGAGATAGATTAGAACCAACAGAGATTCAAAAGCATTTAAAAGCATTTTGATGTATTGGGGTGTAGCCCAAAAACACAATAGTAGATATTTAGATATTGAGAAGTTTCCAGCACAAACACCATTGTAGAATAACTGACCCCAACCCTGCTAAAATAGATTAGCTCTTGTAAGGATAATACTAATTTGATTAATGATGTACATCCATCCCAAATGCCTGACAATAATATCTTTAGATAATAAAAAGTAATAAATCACTGACCACTATAGAAGTGTAAATGTTGACCATTTGCCTTACTGTGTTCACAGTTTTATTCCTGAGAATGAGAATAGACATAGAGCAAAGCCACTGATAATAAGCCACTGATAATGAGAGTATAATACCACAGAGAGATTTATTAGATTAAAATGTATGTTTAAGAATATGGCTCAATAGAAGCAAATATGCAAACATATTTGTAAATAGATTAGAATAGTTTTAAACTATAGTGAATAGTAAAAGTAAAGTACACAGTCTAAGATTGAAAAGTGAAAATAATACAGTGAAATAAGTGAAGTGTAGTGTAAACAATTGTCATTAGAATAAAAGTATAGAGTAATAAAAGTGAAATTAGCTTCAAATTTGAGACTCAGCTCGTTTTTGTCTGTGTTTTGACTGAATCTGCTGAGTTCTACTGTGTCCAATAGTTTTTGTTTGTTTTTATTTTAGTTTGTTTTTTATTTTTGATTTGTTTTTGTTTGTTTTTGTTTGTTTATTTTTTCCCAGGATAGAGGATAAAATCCACTGATATTGATTTGATGATTATGAGTTTAATGCATACATTTTCTTTGTTTTTAATAATTTTTTGAAGTTTTTTTTGGATTTTTTTTTTTTCTTTTCTCACTTTATTGATTGATTGATTTGAGTGATCACATGTGATTATGTGATCAAAGGGGAGGGTGTTAGTATTAGATAGCAATATGGCCTACGTGCAGGACTGTACAAGGACTCTACAAGGACTCCATGTTATGACTATGATTTGACTGTCTCTTTGTGACACGTATGTCTTTCGATGTGTGACGTGACAATGACTATATAAACTGTGTACTGCCTTTATTCTGTCTGAGAAGAAGAAACAGAGTAAACCAGTGGAACTTGAGAGAAACTTAAATAAACTTCCAGAGTTTGGCACACCACGATCCGTCTCTGTCTGCTAAATCCTAACAATATTATTAAATATTCATCTATATTCTCAAGGGGAGTGCAGACACCATGTTTTGGATTAACTTGTGTAGAAGTATAATATACATTTTAAATATGCACCAGTTCCAGTTTTTTGAGGTATAGGTACTTTTTGTTTTGTATATAAATTCACTTTTCCCTGCTCAATTTTGACTGGACTCTGGAGGAGGTGAGGGACAGGAGGGTGCTAGCCAAAGCCACCTCCATCATGAAAAATACCTCCCACCCACTGCACAGGACTGTAGAGGAGCTGAGGAGCTCCTTCAGTGGAAGACTGAGGCACCCTCAGTGCAAGAGAGAGTGCTACCACAGGGCCTTTATTGCCACTGCTGTCAGACTGTACAGTGAGTCACTATAAGTCACTTGCACTAGGACTAAACCTGCACTACGATTGCCATTGTTTCTTTAACTGCCACGTTTTATTGTACATAATATATCCTGCAGACTATATTTTTTGCCTTTAACATGTTTGTACACTTCTGTCTTTTGCACAAATCTTGAGGGATTCTATCCATGCCAAATGTGACATGTACATTTCTCCTGAGTAGATCAATAAAGTCTATCTTATCTTAAGTAGCAATGGTGTGGGTTCTGTCATCATGGAATTGTGTATATTCAGAGCAGGAATTTGATCAAATAACGTAAACTTGTGTTTTGGAATTAATCAATGAAAGCTTTAAAATAGTCATGTCTATAATTTTTCCCATTTTTCCTCTGTATTGTTCACCCGTAAAACCTGCCTATCAAATTGATATTTGATACAGAATCAAACTGGTAAATACCCGTCATCCAGGTCTCCTCCCTGGAAGAGCTCTGATGTCTGTGAATCATGCAGGAAACGGTCCCAGCATTCTTTTTTGGCCTGAGACAATGACCGCAGCATGTCCCTGGAGGTCACGTCGCTGGACTGGCCTTTCACTCTTTTCAAACGATTTTCTGTAGCATAAGAACACAAATATATTAACAACAAGCATTGCACAGCTTTTCTGATGGAGGGTCTTTTGCAAGTCTTCCAGTTTTCCCATTTATATTACAGTCAAAGTAAGAAAGTAATTTCATTTTCACCCAAAAACCTTTTGGATTGAATATATTTTCAACTCCACAACACGGTGATGACAGAAGCAAAGCGCTAAACATATGGCGTATTGAAACACTCTCACTAATTACTTTCAGACCAGCAGTACATGTCTTTAGAGGTAGGGAGGGAACCTACACATACACGGGGAGAACAGCTAACGCCACAAAGGTAGGGTAATTTATACAGATAATAGAGCTGCTTTACAATTCGAGTGGGCATTTGTCCTCTCACTCCACCCAGAACGTGTATGCCCCCCTATTGTACATGTGGTAGGGGAAACTGGAGCACCCGGAGGAAACCTACACATTACTTACATAATTAATTTTCATTATTAGCGTTTATTGGTTTTAATGATAACTTATTTTGACCTACTTTTTGCTGATTTTTTTGTTTTGTTTTACTTACCCAAACTAGCGATGTACATTTCGGAATCCTCCATCGGTTCCCATTTGGATTCAGGCGGACAGGTCCTGTGCGTGTGCCCCGGCTGGAACGAGTCACCGAAGTCCAGTTTGGCGTCCTCTGCGTGTGCTTCGGTCTGGTTCTGGGATTGCGGTGGTAAAGTAGAGCAGATTTCAGACCAGAGTTCTCCGCTGGACTTAACGCTCCCATCCTCAAAATCGTCAAGCATTGCCACAACAACAAAAGCAGCTGGATGTGTTCACTCTGCAACGCAACTGATGGCGAGGGTTCCCATTTAATCTGCAAAACACGCATAGAGAACGGTACAATGGGAAATGCATAAGACATATAACAGCAGCAAAGCGCAATATTTACAAACATAACTAAACGAAGTGAAATCTTACCAGAGAAAACACATATCAAGCAACGGAATTATCGCTTTCGTGCTATTTGAAGTCTGTCTTTGCAGCTTGAAGTTGTAAAAAAATCACTTCCGCGTTAAAGAAACAAATGATTGGTTAAGAGATACGTCCATCAGTAAAGTGCAAACTTGATTGGCTCGATCCCCTGGTCTGTCCCGGAAGTTACGGACTGTCAGTGGAAAAGGTAAACAATTCAGATGACCTCTTTTTTAATCCACTTTATCGCAGTTTGTTCATAAAATATGTGCTTTAACATCCGTCTTTTGTAATTTATGAATATGAATAAACCACTTTCTGGATTTCGTAGTGTGCCCGTGTGCGTGCAAAAAAAAATATATTGATGAGAAACACGTACGGCTTTTAAATTAAGTAATAGCAACAAGTATTGTGGATCATTTTGACAGTTTTAAATGAAGCTTGTGGTGTCTTCTCTGGTTTCAGCGCTGACATGTTGCCAGTTCTAGCTCCGGAGTGAGAGATGCAGGCGCTGCGCTTGGCTGTGGTTGCGGTCCCCATGGGTTTGCTGCTGTCCCGGACAATGGCGTGGATGTCCAGCGGCAGAACTCACACAGAACTCGTGAGCCGACTGAGAGGTACCACCGTTGTTCTATTGTTGAATGACCCTCAAAATATTTTCTGCAAGTTCTTCTGTCCAGAGAAATGTCCATCTTGTTTCCTTTTTAACAGTTCGTGTTTCATACCAAGGCACTAAAATATCATAAAAAATGCAGATTCCTCTTACTATTATGTATGATTGTAGAGAAGGACTGAGGAACTAGGAGAATGCTGCTCCTCCATGTCTAGAGGAGGTGGCTTAAGCATCTGTTTACAGATATATGCATTGGAAATTGCAACGTAATTTACATAAGAAATCTGATGTTTCTTTATTGTAAAAGCTTTAATTTTTTTATTTTATGGTATCTCTTTTTGTTGTTTATTGCTTTGCAGATCATGGTGTGATCAGACATGACAGAGTTTTTGAAGCTATGCTTGCAACAGACAGAGGGCTGTACACCAGAGATTATCCCTATGCTGATTCTCCACAGTCTATAGGTGAGTACGTGATTTTGATCTATCTCCACTAGAACAAGTGCCTCAGTCTCTTTCTGTTACAGGCTACAGAGCTACCATCAGTGCTCCACACATGGTGAGTATTTGGCCCAGTCCTTTTTACGAGGAATCAAAGGAAATACAAATGTACAAATGTACATTGCTTTTTAAATGTTGTTTTTTAAAAATGAGTCTTTGTGTGTAACAGCACGCTCATGCTCTTGAAATACTACACGACAAACTCACTGATGGAGCAACCGCTTTAGATGTGGGTTCTGGAAGTGGTTATCTTACTGCCTGCTTTGCACGGATGGTGAGTGCTTCTAGTTATAGGAAATGGGCAAATCCTTCTGCTTAAACTTTACATTCAATTTTTAATATACATTTAATACATATTTTTTAGATGGGTCCAACAGGTCGAGTGGTGGGTATTGAGCACATTGATGAACTTGTAAAAATGTCTGTTAGAAATGTGCAAGCAGATGATCCGGAGCTTATTTCCTCTGGCCGTATCAGATTTGTTGGTAAGTAAGACAATGATGACAAAGCTTATGTTGACTTTGATGAAGTAATGACGGACTTCTCAATGTTCTATGTTCTCAGTTGGAGATGGGAGGCTGGGTCACTCAGAAGGGGCCCCCTATGATGCCATCCATGTTGGAGCAGCTGCAGCGACTCTTCCCAAGGCGGTGGGTGCATGTTCTCAAATATAAAACTGAGAGATAAATAATGAGTTTAATACAACAACATAATCATTTTGTTGTATTAATCACCTGGTTTCAGCTACTGGAGCAGCTGAAACCAGGTGGCAGGCTGGTCCTTCCAGTCGGTCCAGACGGTGGCAGTCAAGTCTTAGAACAGTATGATCGACAGAGTGATGGCACCTTCCTGAAGACGGCTTTAATGGGAGTGATGTATGTCCCGCTCACTGACAAGAGGCATCAGTTTCCTGGGTGGGTCTATTTCTCAGATAAAAATATATTCACAGCAGCACACAGTAACTGATTCTCTCTCTTCAGTGGAGAGCTCTGATGGCTGTTGTTCCTCCTGCAGATGGTGCTGGTGCTGTGCCTCTGGGTCCAGGTAGCACTCGTCTGTTGCCCACAATAAGAACATTGCGGCTGTGTGATCTTGGAATTATTCTTTTCATATGACCCAAAAATGTGCTGTTAGAACGCTGCTAAAAATAATTTGCAGTTATGTATGTTTGTGATTGAATTGCCAAATACATCGCCACTTAATTTTTATTAAAATACTGTATATGGATTGATTTGAAAAAATCCCTGCCATAGAAAGAGCTTTGTACTAAGTACTATGCATTACTATCATTAAAATGTAATTAAATTACGGTTAACACAATAATGAATTTATCTTATTATAGTGATTATCTCAATTAACATAGCTTATGACTGTTAATTTGTTCATACAAATCAATGCAATAAGGGTTACCAATAAGATACAGAAACATCTGAGTGGAATATTCTGTAAAAGGATAATAAATATTGTTTATCCAATACAATCTTCTGTTATTATGTGAAGGGGCATAATGCATGTCAAACACCACTGACATTATTAGTTGTTTAGAATAGATATTACGCACACGTCAAACTTTTTTGCCATATGCACAACATTTTTATTACAGACAGTAGTTTTGCATTACTCAATTACTACTTTCACTCGTAAATATAATACATCCATGCTTTCACTACTAAAATAACCGTGGATTAATTTGACGTCACTATTGTGCGTCCCGCTCTTTAAAGGGACCTCAAAATACCGTGCTGTGGAACTCTTATGGGTGGGACGTGCTGAAGAGAAATGCTCTGCAGATTGTATTCTAAATATAATAAATCAGTCGGTATATGTTCAGGACTAAATCATTGCGGTGTGTTTCCTTCCTCTGGTCGTCAGTCTGCGGTCAGTCGAACCACTTCACTGTTCCCTGGACTCAGCGCGTGGAGCTCATGGAGCTCACGGAGCCCACGTTATCGATTAACCGAGAGGGTTCAAACTCGGACATAACTGAAGTCACGGACGGAAAAGAAGCTACTGTCATTGAAAATACGCAGAATGATTGTGGAAAACGTAAGAATGACGAACCAGAGGAAAGCGAAGGAAGGCGGCGAGGGAAGAGGCGCAGAGGAGCGGGAGGAAAGAAAGTGCGGCCCGGAGAGAGATACATCCCTCCGCCTCAGAAACGGAACCCGACTGTCAGCTTCAACGAGGAACATTTCAACGAGACCACGTACTATTTTGAAAACGGACTTCGCAAAGTGCGTCCTTACTACCACGACTTCAAAACGTACTGCAAAGGCCGCTGGATAGGCAAGACTCTGATGGAAGTGTTCAAGAGTGAGTTCAGAGCTGAGTCCATGGAATACTACCAGAGAGCGGCTGAAGAGGGACGCATCCGCCTCAACGACACCCCGGTGAAAGACCTCTCCATTGTTCTCAGGGTCCGTAACTATTGATCTCCCATTTATTCAGTTAGCGATGTTATACTTACTTCATTACTCTGCAAACGTTATAGGTTTGATTCCATCATAGAGTTATTGTCTTATCTTGTGCTGTGTGCTACTCCGTCCTCCTGAATATTTCCCCACTTTTAATCTCAATCATTGTATTTCAATATTTCCTCTCATTCACAGAACAATGACCACATGAGGAACACTGTGCACCGCCATGAGCCTCCTGTGGTGGGGAGACCTTTGGAGATCTTGGCTGATAACGGTGAAATTCTGGTGGTGGACAAACCCGCCTCTATTCCAGTGCATCCGTGCGGCCGCTTCAGACACAACACTGTCATCTTCATCCTGGGCAAAGAGCAGGGCATCTCAGAGCTCCACACAGTGCATCGACTGGACAGACTCACCTCAGGAGTGCTGCTGTTTGCACGGAATCTGGAGACTTCAAAGAGGCTGGACCAGCTTGTCCGAGACAGACAGGCAAGTCCAGGCTCAAGATTTAAGTAATAATGCTAACGGTACAATATACCATACATTATGGACTGTAAAGGCACCGTATATAAGATGCTGTACCACCTCCATTTGATAGGCAATGGATCAATTCTGTCCATATACAGTACAGACCAAAAGTTTAGACACACCTTCTCAAACTTGTAGATTCTCACGGAAGGCATCAATACTATGAATTACCTCATGTGGAATTATGAACATACTTTTTTTTAAAAGTATCAAACAACTGAAAATATGTCTTTTATAATCTAGGTTCTTCAAAGCAGCCTCCCTTTGCTTTGATTACTGCTTTGCACACTCTTGGCCTTCTTTGATGAATGCCAAGGTAGTGACCTGAAATGATCTTCTAACAGTCTTGAAGGAATTCCCAGAGATGCTTAGCACTTTTTGGCCCTTTCGCCTTGACTCAGTGGTCCAGCTCACCCCAAAACCATCTGGATTGGGTTCAGGTCCGGTGACTGTGGAGGCCGGGTCATCTGGCCCAGCACCCACCACTCTCCTTATTAGTCAAATAGCCCTTACACAGCTTGAACCTCATGAAAAGAAAGGAAATTCACTTAATGAGAAAGTGTGTCCAAACTTTTGGTCTGTACTGTATAAGCCGCAATTGAATTTAGCTGGTTTGGTCACTTGATTTAATGTTTATCAGCTTGACCATTTGTTTCCATGCCTGTACGCATTTTTCACTACATGACTATTTTGACAATAAACTAGTGTCCTATAGCTACTAAAGCTTGAAGGCAAAACATTAATTAACGTTAATAAACTCTGCTGTGATATCTCTACCACAATAAAAATACACATATTACTTGCATTGCTATATTATAAGGGTTCATTAAACAACAAAAAAGGAGCGGCTTATAGTCCAGAAATTACGGTACTAAGTTATTGTACTTCTTTTATTATAGCTTGTAAAGGAGTACGTGTGTCGGGTGGAAGGAGAGTTCCCAGAAGGAGAGATTACCTGTGAAGAGCCCATCCTGGTGGTTTCTTTCAAAATCGGTTTGTGTCGTGTGGATCCTAAAGGTAAAGAAAGCCGTACTGTGTTTGAGAGGCTCCACTTTGACGGTCAAACAAGTGTGGTGCGATGTTTACCACTCACCGGCCGCACACACCAGATCAGAGTGCACCTGCAGTACCTGGGGTTCCCAATCCTCAACGACCCCATATATGGGTCCTATGCCTGGGGTCCACTCCGGGGGAAAGGGGGGCTGGTGAGCAGGACTAATGAGGAGCTGCTGCAGGCGCTGGTCGAAGAGCATGAACTCCTGGACACGGCCGAGAACGCAGCTGGAGAGGTTGAAGGCGTGAAGACAAAAAGTGATTGCACAGATGAAGAGGCCAGTGCCACCAATGAGCTGTCTAGTACCAGTGTTGGAGATGATGTGGATTCTACCGCTCCAACATGTAGCACCATCGAGAAAAATGGCACAAGTAATGAGGACCCTGTCAAAGACTCAGAGACGGAGGCCACAGTTTCAAGCAAGAAGGCTTCCAACAGTGAGCTTGACCATCTGTGCAGTGAATGCAAACTTGTACGAGCCGACCCCACGGAGAAGGAACTCGTCATGTATCTCCACGCCTTACGCTACAAAGGTCCTGACTTTGAATATTCAACACGGTTACCTGACTGGGCCAAAGAGGATTGGAAAGAGACATGTTAAGATCACTTCATTAATACTCCTACTTTTGTTTTGTAGTTGGATTAAAATGCTGCTACAGTATAATTTAAATTATTGTATCTCAGTTGTGGTCTTTTAGACACATTTCTTCAAATATCATTGTTTCATATTTTTACTTCCAGACATGGAAGAATAATAAAGAAAAATTACTGAGTAATCTTTGTTTTGTGTTGAGTACACATATGAAACTGTCCCTTCTACAGCCTCACAACCAAGAATTTTATTCTATGAAAACAGAGATCATGCACTGATGTCAATTTCAAATTGAAAAAAAATCCAAGATTATTTACAAAGAAAGATGTTCATAAAGGATGGTGGAATAACTGCACACAGATTTAGAGGGCTGAAGTCAGCTATGAAAGAATTACGAGCTTCTCTGTGGAGTGTGTTCACATCGACACACCATAATCGTACCATCGGAGGTCTATTTGGACACAGTGCTCTGGGAAACCCATTTTTAAACTCTGAATTTTGTGGGATGTTTAATCTGAGAAAAGTAGGGATGCATTTGCTTCTTTTTTTATAAATAATTTAGATTTAAAATCAGATCAGGTCAATTGAATCAATAATTCAATGTATTTCTGTTTTAGAAAACTGGAGAATGAGGAGTCATGGACTTGATTTACATAAAAATTAGAATGAATGTATTTTTAAAAGGGAAATGTTAATGCATTATGAACTAAAACATGAACAGTGTCTGATTTAATGCTTTTTTTATGCATTATTATAATACCTGTGAAAATAATTTGGACGTTGGTTTGTTTGTTTTTTCTATATTGGCCCTAGCCCAGCCCTAAACTCATGTCTGTGTTGATTATGGGCAGCTGCAGTTGTAAACATGCATCAAAACCTGTGAAACTGACAATGATTCGGGAGATGCACACATTTTAATTGACATTTCTATGACCATAATTACATATTGCAATAAAAGTGCTAATATCCAGTTAGTTGGTGCCTGAGTCATTAGAATGTAAGTTTTGTTTTATCACCTCTGGAATCATCACTAACCCATCTGCAGTTTCAAACAAAATGTGTGATTAATACATGCGAATCAGGTTTTACACACAGAAAGGACTGCACTCACAACATAAATACTCAAGTATACATACTCAAACATAGACAGTGCTACCACATATTGCAGCGTGTGTCAGCCTCAGCAGCTATCCTCCTGCTCCCCACGTCTCTTGATCCACACGTCTGGTAAATCTGGTTTACTGTTGGGTATAATGACCACTTCACTGCTGCTCCTGTTCCCGCTCTCATAGGTCGTTTCTTTCAAAGGTAAGCGAAGAGTATCCCTTTTATCATTCAGGTGTCCAGGCTGCAGCTGCTGGTCCTCTTTCATTATTTGCTGTGATGTAGACGCCTTTGCTTCCACGATGCTCAGACTGGTGTTGTTTGAGTCTCCCATGCCCTCTTCAGAGCTCTGCGACATGGCCCACAATGCTTCATGGGTTTTGGCCTTATCTTTGCATAAGGTAGGATTTAGAATATGGCTGTCTTCGATGCTGGACGATGAAGAAAAGGCCGTATTGCTCTGGTGTTTCAGCCCACTACACCTCTGACCTCTGCAAGCCGTGCACAGTTGTTTGCTGGACTCTTTGTACGGCGATGATGTTTGCATGGCCACAGACGTAGTGCACATCTTATGGTGCTGAGTGCACACATCTTCTCTGCTACAAAACTGGATCTCATCTGAGAGGACAGAAGGCCTGGTGGACAATTTACTGGTGCAAGTACTGTTCTCAAAGCTGTCACTGAGTCGATAGGCCAGAGGTTGCAGCTCGTACTGCTCGTGCCCTTGACTAGTGCCAACGTCGAGCTTCTGTCTCTGCTGATTATGGTGGTTGGGATACAGATAGCTCCCTTCATCTTTGTACTGGCTCCTCCTCACTCTGTTTTTGTCAAAAGCTCCATTACCAGTAGTTGAGGAGTTGACTGTTAGATGAGATTCAGTCTGTTCCAAAAAACACGGAAACACAATCCTGCCACAGTTCTGCTCAGGTCCAAAAAAACAACACAGAGACTGGAAAAAGAACGTTGCAAATCCGCAGGCCACACATTTAACTAAGAACAAAAAAATGCCTAACTTTCTAAAGAGCAAAGCCGTTGATGGTAACATAATGATCCCCATACAGAAATAAGCTCCCGAAACTACGGCAACAGGGCAGCCCATCCTTTTAGTGGCATGTGCCACCTTCCCAATTTTGTCTGAATGTGGAGCTAAGCTATAAGATATGCAGTAGTTCACAACAAAGTCAACAGCCAATCCTGCAGCAAAAGAAATAAAGAGCGCCTCAAGACCACTCAGGTGCCACTCGAGTAGAACAAGAAGTCCAATAGTGACAAAGACACTTCCACCAACTGTGACCATGCCATAGAGACTCAAAGGAATGTTCCATGTACTAACAAGGAGGGAGGCAAAGGTCAGGGCCACAGAAAACCCTGAAACCAGCAGTGTCTCTGAGCCCAGGGACTGCTGCAGGTCCAGCAGAGAGAGCTGGCTCACAAACCACCCACGGGCCAGGCCTTGTGGTGCATCTGATTTCTCTTTTGTAAACCATGAAAGGATTTGTCTGTAATAGACACTGGTGGTGGTATAATTAAAGCTATAGAGGTAAGTGGTTCTGAATGCTAAAACAAGGGCAGCGATTCGTCCATCTGTGTGGAAGTACACTCCCCCTGCATGAGCCAGATGGCCCTCGATGTAGCGTTCTGCGAGCAGCAGACTCAGGCACTGGTCGAATACAGCAGGATGGAATGGGAATGTTTGGTTAGCACAGCAGAGGTCAGCTGGGTCATTGCCCTCCGAGCAACGCCGCATTGAGATCCACTCTACTAACTTCTCCATGAGGCATATGTTTTCTACCATGCCTTTCTCTTCAAGCGATGGAGGCAAATAAAAACTTAGATTTTGAACATGTGCACACAGATCCTTCAACCAGACCTGGGATTCAGGGCTGCTCATATTGAACTCTGGATCCAAGACCAATGAGTTGTTGCTGTGTGGGTTAAAATAGTCTCCATTGTCGGAGGCTTTGACGCCCCAGACTAACTGTAGGGTCAGGGGCATGTCCTCCCCATTTCTCTGGCGCTCAAACATAAACATGTGGCGGTACTCTGCATCATATCTCTCAAATGGATGACTGGAGGGGAACAGTTGAGTGACTTTGCTCTCCAGAGTTGGCAGCTTCATGCCTGGCTCCACACAGGCCATGTAGGTGCCCCCAGCAGCAAGCACTGAAAACCAGCACACCCAAATGTACCGAAATTTCACTACTCCACATGGAAGGATCTTCATAAATACCAGATTTGATGTATCACTAACTCCTTTTTTAATTTCTCTTAATTTTTGACTGAGAGTGAAAAGACATTTCTTGCGTGAGCTTGTCTCCCAGAATCCATTGGTGTTTTTGGAGCAGCAAGGCCTCAATACCTGCACAGTATCATGGGAGGAACTAACATAGCGCTCGCGTAAAATAAAGGAACATGGTAGCCATACTAATGCTAGGAGAGAACTGATGCAGGAGGCTGTGCTAAGGTAAATGGAAAAGCACCTAATGGCTGGGAGACTGCTTAGAAACCCAGAGAAAAACGCAGCACTTGAGGTCAATCCAGAGGCTACAATTAGATGACAAACTTCATGCAGCATTCGGTTGACTCTCTTCTCTAAAGACGCACAAGGTCTTTGCAAGTAAAGTAAGTTCCAAGAATCTGCAAATATAAAAACCTGATTTGTACAGCTCCCCAGCAGAATAATAGCAGCTGTAAGATTGGTTAAAGGAAAGAATGTCAGGTGGTAAACGACTTTGTATAAAAAGTAAGATGTGAGGAGGGAGCCGGTTATCGCAAATAAAGATATGACTACAACAAATGGTGACTTTAGATAAATAGCCATAGAGAAAAGGAGGGACAAGATCGCGAGAACAGGGTAAACACAGTCCTTTGAAAGGTAAAGCCTGAAAAGGCTCTGCTTGATGCCGAAGTCCATGCCAGTGATGGTGGTATTGTTCTGAGACAGAGGTCTTCCTTCTAAACTGTCCATGTATATTTGCATCATTTGCTCCCCTTTCTCTACTGGGAGGAACAGGAGGCTGTATTTTAGAATAGGGATTTGGTATTCTATTGTCTGCGGACCCAGAAAGTCCTTATCCACCAGAAAATGTAGAATCTGGAACACCACATTGGACTGTTTACATCGACTCGGAACAGAAGCACAGGTGCCGTGTTTGGGCCTGTCCACACAGGTCTTTGTTAGACGTCCTTCATGATAGTACGGAGCACATTTACGCAGCAGGCTGAGTGACTCCGACACCTGCAAGACACATTCAATTATTATCTGTAAATATGTGATGTTTCAAGGTATGTACAGTGTATGGAATGACCTGCTGTGCAGTGAGGCTAAGGCAGCTTGAGGCATTTGTGAGCACAGATAAGTAGTTCCCCAGGGACCAGCTGGGACAGCAGTTGCTGCTCAGGCCTTCGTCTTGGGGCCCGCTTCTGAGGGGCCGCTGGCACACATCCTGAAAATGGGCCTGGGACCGGATCTTGAACAAAGCAGGAGAGAGAATTAAACTACAACTTTTTCGAAGGATGTTTACAGCAATATAAAAAGGAATCAAAACTTTTATAAAAGCATGCATGGGACCATGGGAGCAGCATACCCTGGACTGCTCCATCTCACACATGGACTGGATGGTCCTCAGGTTCCACAGACTGGCTGCATTTTCAGATCTGAACACAAGTTGGGCCAGATGTTCTCCTTAGAATACAACAACATAAATAAATGTATTAAAAGTACAATATATATAGAAGTGTGTGTATATGTATATATTACATACAGTATGTATGTGTATGTTTTCCTATACTGCACATGTGTGTGCAGGATGTTTGTGTCTGTGGTGTGAGGCACCTGGAGCATCACAGAGGAAGGGGTCTGGAGTGAAGTGTCTGGCCAACATCCTCCTCGTTCGAGCTCTGCTGCTGTTCTGGCTGACAGATCCTCCTGCTCTGTAACAGACAGTAAAATATATGATCACCTTTTAGCTTAAGAATTGTTCTATAATACAACTCTAAATGTTCATTGTACAGTAAATATTTTTGATGGGCAAACTACATTAAGCCTATTTTTAATAAGATAAGATAGACTTTTGGTCTCACACAGGAGAAATTTACATGTCACATCTGGCATGGATAGAATCACTCAAGATTTGTGCATCAGAAAGAAGTGTGCAAACATGCTAAAGGCAAAAAATATCGTGTTTTCAGGATCTGTTATGTACAATAAAAAGTGTCAATTTATTAATCCAGAGGCTAAATTGCAGTATAATATTCAATAGAAAATTAATATATTTTAGACATTAAATATTGTCTTTTACTCGAAACATAATTATATAACTAGCAGCTGTGATAGGTTATGGTAAGGTTTAACCTGTATTCTTAACTAGGTAAATTTGGTTTACATTGTGTGAAATGGAGCAGATGTCAAACAAACTTCTCTGAGCTGCTGACCTCGCACTGAGTGCCTGTGGCAGCAGAGACAGAGTCCTGCCAGGCCCTGTGTTCTCCAGCAGCTGCTGCAGACTGGACTCACGCAGACTGATGTACGTCCCCCGTGGCTGAAAGCCCTGTGTCCAAACACACACACACACAGACATCAAAGGAGGCCCTCTGCTCTTCATCAGTGTCAACAAGCTTCTGGAAGATGTGAAACTTAGTAGTACTAATGTTTACTAGCTTTTGTGATCATTACAGAGTTTCATGTTTGCAATTATATTGCATCTATAATATAAGCTATGAATCTAAAACAGCTGCCATTGGAAACCTACCATTAGAGGATTTGAGAAGTCTGGTAAAGGTCCCACCAGAAATGCTGCTCCAGAACAGGCCAAGAGGAGCAGAGCACAACCCAGCAGCAAACCTAACGGGTGCTCAACCAACAGCTGACCATATCTAAATCAAACATAACAACAGGGTGAGATTCTTGGAGTGAGAAAATCTTATTCTTATTTTTATGATTCTTACATCTTGATGATCCAGGACAGCCCTCCATCCCTGCAAGAAATCAAAGAGACTGGTACTGCATAGAAAATCATTCATCAGTCATTCACATAACAGAGAGCCACAGGTACCTGACAGTCGGGGCCTGTGTGGGTTTGTGTAGAGCACTGTCAGCTGAGCTGTGGAGCCAGTGACAGCGGACAGCTCCAGAACACAAGGACTGAGCTGAGCTGAAACTCTGACCCTCCTTCAATCGCACAGCCTCCAGCGAACACCCATGCTTTCCTCTTCTGGGACAGCTGTGGCAGGTGCCAGGCGCCTGGCTAGAGCGAGGACACAGTCTGGGTGAAGGAGAGTCGAAAGGCCCCAAACGTGACTGTGGCACCTGCACACACAGTTAAGAGTCATAGTTTAAGGACAGCAGATGGGAATAAAGAAATATTACTGCACTTTAATAGGTTTGTTACAGACACATTCATATGCCCCATGTGAAGAGTAGAATGCTGTTACCTGGTGATAGAGTTTGCAGGAGGAGGATGGCCGGCCCAGGCTGCTGCAGCTGTCACACAGGCCTCCTTCAGAGAGCAGCACCTCCTCAGAATGCTCCTCAGGGAGACACAGGGCGATGGTTGGGGGGTCACTGATGAGCACATGAAGCAAGACACTACAGTACAGTATAGTATACAGAAAGTGCACTGCTTAGTTTGTGTATTGGTGAATACACAACATTGCCACTGTGTACATTGTGTTTGTTTTTCCACCAGGGGCCGAGATGGTAAAGTGCCGTGTACTACTGCTCTGTCTCCAGAGCAACAAAGTAAACAGTCCAGTTGCTGATGTAGTAATTATGGCGTCAAAAAGATAATTAAACCCAGAGATCTTTGCAATAAATGAATCCGAAAAACAGTGATTTGACATCTATTTACAAAGCATTATGTGGTCGTTAATTTGAAAAAATAAATACATTATTATAAATTATATTAGTAAGTCTGATCATGTTGTCCGCTTTCCCTTAAAAAGGTGCCTAAGTAATGCCTGTTTTGTATATGTAGGAAAGAAGAACGAGAACAATACTCAGTACCACCGCTGTTTCACGTGACAGCCGCAAAGACTTGTCACCACAGATCACTCACATCAGATCAAGCTGGGAAAGGTTTTCACAAAACATCATCTACATGTCTTTGGTTTTGCGTCACAGTTCTTCAAACTGGTGACCTACTGTTATTCGGCCTTTCCATCTAAATGAGATGCTAATATAAAGGCGCCCACCTCTGTGCCGCTGCCCGCGCCCCCTCTCCAGGAGGTATGTGCTCCATCACGATCGCATCCGAGCTGTCCCCGCGCACCGCGGACCCGTCCATCCTGTCTTCAGGTCCCTAATCCTCCCAGTTTTTGTCCCTAAACGTGATTGTCGTCCACTGCCATCTGTTGAAGCTGCGTGCAGTCCATCCTGGTCACGCAGATGCTCGATTGTGATGCTCCCTCCGCAGGAAAAGGCAGTGAGGCAGAGGAGCGCGCGGATTGGCTCAGGTGCGGCTGCTGCTGTGCGCATGTGCGACGGGAGAGGGCGCTGTCAGCTCATGTTTCCAATCCACCATGTTCCATCATCACCATCATTAAAAATCAATGAATTAATATTGATATATGTTACACTTCTTTAGGAAGTTCGTATCCTCCATTTTTGAGGCTCTTCTCTCTCTCCCACCGTGAGTAAAGGTCTTGGTGAGCCCACTTACAGATGTTTGGTTGCTGCCGCCCTGTGGACAATGTGGTTATTATTTTGTTAAAAATCTATATGTTATTGCGTTTTTGAAGGATAACTTAAAGAACAAACGTAGATCTGATTTGGTGTTAACTCTTGTTCTTTAGTACAATCTATGGACAGTGTCATGTCTAATACATGGCATACATACATACTGGATGAGTCTGGTCACTTTGGTAAAGAGTTTGTGATGTTGACAAACAGATTGACTTTTGTAATGGCACAGATAATCTCCCCTATTACAGAGTGTGTGATTGTGTGCAGTGTATGGTGAGGTGCCAGGCCCCGGGGCCGGTGACAGACAGCACGAGTGCCTCGTTGAGAGGTGTAGAGTTACGGGCGCAGGACACACCTCTGAGACCGCGGTAAAGTGGCCCTGCATTTCGTCGCGAGCGGTAAAGAGGTCCGCACTTTGAAAGCGGTTGGCTCTTTTATGCTGTTACTTACGGTAAATGTGGAAAGGGAAGCCGTGACGACGAGAAAGCAAAATGCTATATCTTTTAAAAAATCATTAAAAAAGAACAAAAAGAGGTTTGACAATACTTTCACTGCACACTTCTTCAATGAGATGCTCTTTACCACTGTGTAAAATATCATTCATTTTTACTCTAGAAATTCTGAGAAAATGGGGGTCAAAATGTGCCATTTTGGTCCCAAAAGCACTTTTTAAAATTCATTTTTAAAAAATCGAAAAAAGTTCCCTGACTGCTTTCACTGCACACTTGTTCACCAGGATGCCCTCTACCACTGTGTAAAATATCATTCACTTTTACTGTAGAAATACAGAGAAAATGGGGGTCAAAGTGTGCACAAGTGGTCCCAAAAGCACTTTTTAAAAATCATTTTAAAAAAATCTAAAAAAGTTCCCAGACTACTTTCACTGCACACTTGTTCACTGGGATGCCCTCTACCACTGTGTACAATATCATTTACTTTTACTGTAGAAATCCAGAGAAAATGGGGGTCAAAGTGTGCACAAGTGGTCCCAAAAGCACTTTTTAAAATTAATTTTAAAAAAATCTAAAAAAGTTCCCTCACTACTTTCACTGCACACTTGTTCACTGGGATGCCCTTTACCACTGTGTAAAATTTTATTCGCTTTTACTGTAGAAATCCAGAGAAAATGGGGGTCAAAGTATGCACAAGTGGTCCCAAAAGCACTTTTTAAAATTCATTTTAAAAAAATATAAAAAAGTTCCCTGACTGATTTCACTGCACACTTGTTCAACAGGATGCCCTCTACCACTGTGTAAAATATCATTCACTTTTACTGTAGAAATCCAGAGAAAATGGGGGCCAAAGTGTGCACAAGTGGTCCCAAAAGCACTTTTTAAAATTCATTTTAAAAAAATATAAAAAAGTTCCCTGACTGATTTCACTGCACACTTGTTCAACAGGATGCCCTGTACCACTGTGTAAAATATCATTCACTTTTACTGTAGAAATCCAGAGAAAATGGGGGACAAAGTGTGCACAAGTGGTCCCAAAAGCACTTTTTAAAATTAATTTAAAAAAAATCTAAAAAAGTTCCCTGACTACTTTCACTGCACACTTGTTCACTGGGATGCCCTTTACCACTGTGTAAAATATCATTCACTTTTACTGTAGAAATCCAGAGAAAATGGGGGTCAAAGTGTGTGCACAAGTGGTCCCAAAAGCACTTTTTAAAATTCATTTTAAAAAAATCTAAAAAAGTTCCCTGACTGATTTCACTGCACACTTGTTCAACAGGATGCCCTCTACCACTGTGTAAAATATCATTCACTTTTACTGTAGAAATCCAGAGAAAATGGGGGTCAAAGTGTGCCATTTTGGTCCCAAAAGCACTTTTTAAAAAAATCTAAAAAAGTTCCCTCACTACTTTCACTGCATACTTGTTCACTGGGATGCCCTCTACCACTGTGTAAAATATCATTCACTTTTACTGTAGAAATCCAGAGAAAATGGGGGTCAAAGTGTGCCATTTTGGTCCCAAAAGCACTTTTTAAAATTCATTTTAAAAAAATATAAAAAAGTTCCCTGACTGATTTCACTGCACACTTGTTCAACAAGATGCCCTCTACCACTGTGTAAAATATCATTCACCTTTACTGTAGAAATCCAGAGAAAATGGGGGTCAAAGTATTCACAAGTGGTCCCAAAAGCACTTTTTAAAATTCATTTTAAAAAAATCTAAAAAAGTTCCCTGACTGATTTCACTGCACACTTGTTCAACAGGATGCCTTCTACCACTGTGTAAAATATCATTCACTTTTACTGTGGAAATCCAGAGAAAATGGGGGTCAAAGTGTGCACAAGTGGTCCCAAAAGCACTTTTTAAAAATCATTTAAAAAAAAACTAAAAAAGTTCCCTGACTACTTTCACTGCACATTTGTTCACTGGGATGCCCTTTACCACTCTGTAAAATATCATTCACTTTTACTGTAGAAATCCAGAGAAAATGGGGGTCAAAGTGTGCCATTTTGGTCCCAAAAGCACTTTTTAAAAATCATTTTAAAAAAATCTAAAAAAGTTCCCTGACTGATTTCACTGCAAACTTGTTCACTGGGATGCCCTCTACCACTGTGTAAAAATCATTCACTTTTACTGTAGAAATCCAGAGAAAATGGGGGTCAAAGTGTGCCATTTTGGTCCCAAAAGCACTTTTTAAAATTAATTTTAAAAAAATCTAAAAAAGTTCCCTCACTACTTTCACTGCACACTTGTTCACTGGGATGCCCTTTACCACTGTGTAAAATGTCATTCACTTTTACTGTAGAAATCCAGAGAAAATGGGGGTCAAAGTGTGCCATTTTGGTCCCAAAAGCACTTTTTAAAATTCATTTAAAAAAAAACTAAAAAAGTTCCCTCACTACTTTCACTGCACACTTGTTCACCAGGATGCCCTCTACCACTGTGTAAAATATCATTCACTTTTACTGTAGAAATCTAGAGAAAATGGGGGTCAAAGTGTGCCATTTTGGTCCCAAAAGCACTTTTTAAAATTCATTAAAAAAAAATCTAAAACAGTTCCCAGACTATTTTCACTGCACACTTGTTCACCAGGATGCCCTCTACCACTGTGTAAAATATCATTCACTTTTACTGTAGAAATCCAGAGAAAATGGGGGTCAAAGTGTGCCATTTTGGTCCCAAAAGCACTTTTTAAAAATCATTTTTAAAAAATCTAAAAAAGTTTCCTCACTACTTTCACTGCCTACTTGTTCACTGGGATGCCCTCTACCACTGTGTAAAATATCATTCACTTTTACTGTAGAAATCCAGAGAAAATGGGGGTCAAAGTGTGCACAAGTGGTCCCAAAAGCACTTTTTAAAATTCATTTTAAAAAAATCTAAAAAAGTTCCCTGACTGATTTCACTGCACACTTGTTCAACAGGATGCCATCTACCACTGTGTAAAATATCATTCACTTTTACTGTAGAAATCCAGAGAAAATGGGGGTCAAAGTGTGCACAAGTGGTCCCAAAAGCACTTTTTAAAATTCATTTTAAAAAAATCTAAAAAAGTTCCCAGACTACTTTCACTGCACACTTGTTCACCAGGATGCCCTCTACCACTGTGTAAAATATCATTCACTTTTACTGTAGAAATCCAGAGAAAATGGGGGTCAAAGTGTGCACAAGTGGTCCCAAAAGCACTTTTTAAAATTCATTTTAAAAAAATCTAAAAAAGTTCCCTGACTGATTTCACTGCACACTTGTTCACCAGGATACCCTCTACCACTCTGTAAAATATCTTTCACTTTTACTGTAGAAATCCAGAGAAAATGGGGGACAAAGTGTTCACAAGTGGTCCCAAAAGCACTTTTTAAAATTCATTTAAAAAAAAACTAAAAAAGTTCCCAGACTACTTTCACTGCACACTTGTTCACTGGGGGGGCCTCTACCACTGTGTAAAATATCATTCACTTTTACTGTAGAAATCCAGAGAAAATGGGGGTCAAAGTGTGCCATTTTGGTCCCAAAAGCACTTTTTAAAAATCATTTTAAAAAAATCTAAAAAAGTTCCCTCACTAGTTTCACTGCATACTTGTTCACTGGGATGCCCTCTACCACTGTGTAAAATATCATTCACTTTTACTGTAGAAATCTAGAGAAAATGGGGGTCAAAGTGTGCACAAGTGGTCCCAAAAGCACTTTTTAAAATTCATTTTAAAAAAATCTAAAAAAGTTCCCTCACTACTTTCACTGCACACTTGTTCACTGGGATGCCATCTACCAGTGTGTAAAATATCATTCACTTTTACTGTAGACATTCAGAGAAAATTGGAGTCAAAGTGTGCCATTTTGTTCCTAAAAGCCCTTTTTAAATTCATTTTTAAAAAAATCTAAAAAAGTTCCCTGACTACTTTCACTGCACACTTGTTCACTAAGATGCCCTCTACTACTGTGTAAAAATGTCATTCACTTTTACTGTAGAAATCCAGAGAAAATGGGGGTCAAAGTGTGCCATTTTGGTCCCAAAAGCACTTTTTAAAATTCATTAAAAAAAAAACTAAAAAAGTTCCCTGACTACTTTCACTGCACACTTGTTCACTAAGATGCCCTCTACCACTGTGTAAAATATCATTCACTTTTACTGTAGAAATTAGAGAAAATTTGGGGTCAAAGTGTGCATTTTGGTCCTAAAAGCACTTTTTAAAAAATTTTAAAAAAATCTAAAAAAGTTCCCTGACTACTTTCACTGCACACTTGTTCACTGGGATGCCCTCTACCACTGTGTAAAATATCATTCACTTTTACTGTAGAAATCCAGAGAAAATGGGG